TTTTTTCAACAAAACCAACTAACACTAAACAAACACAAAGTGGTGTATATTGAGCCAAAGAAAATGAAACATGAAATGTTGTAGTTGAAAACCAGCATTGTCGCCTTTTTGAATCAAGCGCTTAGGTGGGGAAGCAGACTTATGAGGTGTGGACTTCAGTTCGAGTCGCACGCCGGAGGAAAAAAAATTTAATTTTTTTTTTCGTTTAATAAAATTTGGTTTTTGGACAGACAGATGAAATTACATTTTGTTTTGATCAAATTACATATTGCTTTTATACTAAGAAACTATCACATGTTTAGTTTTTTCATGACGAATTTTTTTGATTTTGATTTTTTCTTGAAAAGTACTTTTTTGTGTTTTTTGTTGATTGCGTGGAATAAAAAGACTTGGTGAGGGACTGGTATCTGAAGGAATTTTATTCATCTGAACGCAAAAACACTTTGGTTATGATTTTGCCATTTTTAACGGCAACAAAAAAGAGTTTTAGTTGAGTTGATTTTTGTCGATTTTTCATGTTTTTTCCAACTTCTAATGACTATATCTCGAAAATCAGAGTTTTCCCAGATATAAGCTATATGTCAAATTTTAGCTCTAACTTGGGACTAAATTCCAGAGAATTTTTAAAAAAATCGTCGGAGCCGTTTTCGGGAAAATGGCCGATTTATGCAAGGCTAGGTGACCATTTTTTTGGGTTTCTACCCATAGGACCATGCCGACTCAATTTTTTCAAATTAAAATAGATGTCATTTGATAGGTGGCCTCAAGACCTTTCCAACGATACCCAAAAGTTGGAAATCGGTTGACTGGGTTAGGCACAGTGATCATTGGAAAGAAGGCCATATTTTGAATTTTCAAAGGCCGGCCAAGGCCAAGATGGCGGCCAAATCAAAAAATGGCGGAACAAAAAAGTCTTAGTTTTTGTTATACTTTAATACCTGAAAGATTAAAAAAGATCGGGCGAAAACTACGGACAGACGGACGGACGGACGGACAGAAAAAATATTATCTCAGAATAATTGGTGGAGACGCCAAAGAAATTTTTTAAATCGTCATAACTCATGAACGGATGGTCCAATTTCGACGTTCTTGGGCTTGTTGGAAAGGTCTCGACGAGTAGACTCAGAAAAAACATGTTTCAAGATGAACGGGCCGTGTTCAACACCCGGTAAATGGGAAAAACTGATAATTGTACATAATTTTCAAGTGGCTATTTCTATGGAGGCGGTTGGTCGATTTCCAAGTTTGAATGCATTTTCTGGGCCTATGAGCCCAGGGCTTTCTGACGATACTTCATTCATACCAGATGGCCTCTTAGGGAAAAAGTTCGAAACTTCGTGTATATATAGGCGAGTTCGACTTTCAGCATAGAGGTGCTTTCGTCACTCGCGCCTGCTGTCGCCGGCTGTGATTACAATTTTACAACGAATTGTATTTACAATTACAATTGAGTGGTCGGAAATAAAAATGACTAAAGTTGAACCACTTATGGATAACCGTAACACAATATTCTTGATTTTTAAAAGTGCAACATAAATTCTGTTCGCTTGAAAGTGAATCGTAAAATATCTGTAGACTATAGAAATCGTGTTTCACTTTAATTGAAGCAAAAATGTTCGATACACTTTCAAGTCCATTGGAATGATGATTCATTGTAATGGTGGTTTTGGTTGTGATTTGGCTTCGGAGTGAAAATTAAGTGATAAGGAGCGCGAATTTCGATGTGCCGATAACACCATTGGATTGGGCACATGAAATACTGTATGAGAATCGAAAAAAATGTACTTTTTTTCGATTTTTGCCTGTTTCCGATCGTCTACATGGAAAGTTTGTATGAAAACCTCGGAGCGCCGGTGTTTTACCCTTTTCATTTCCTTGTTCGCCGATGATGTGAAAATCGCCAAAATCATCCAATCGAGTTCGGATGCTGAGGTGCTACAACGGGCCATCGATAAGCTAAAAGCTTGGTTTGATGTTAACAATTTGTACCTAAATCCCGACAAATGTGGCGTCGTTACAATCACCACGAAGAAAAAGGACATTATCGATAGAAATTACAATTATGGTGAGCGTGTATCGGACCACAAAGATCTCGGCGTCATCATTGACCAAAAGCTGAGCTTTGTCAAGCACATTGACGCGATAACATCGAAGGCAACCGCAGCCCTTGGATTCATCAAGAGATTTTGCTACGACATTACCGATTGTCAAACGCTCAAAACATTGTATTACGCATTGGTTCAGTCTCATCTTGAGTACTGTAACGTTGTATGGCTACCAACTTATGCCGTACATATTGACAAAATCGAGAGCGTTTTGAGAAAGTTCACACAGTTCGCCCAAACGAAATATCGAACAGCAGCCAACGGGTACAACATCACCGACTACAACAAGCGACTGGAGGCTCTAAGCATGACACGTAGGAGAAACTGGTCGCTGGAACGTAGGAGAGTGAATGCTTCAATTGCATTCATGTATGACATCGTGAATGGGAATGCAAATCGTACACTGGCACACTGACTACCTAAAAATCAGGGATAGGCTCTTAGACAAGCAAATCAGAGCTCATGTCCCTCAAATGTGCAAATATGCAAATAAAGTGGCTGATTCATTCAAAAATTCAACCAGCCGTGCAAATTTCATCACATCAGTACGAAAAGAACAAAGCCAAACTTTTAATATAAAATATTGACAAATTGTTTTCTTACATCATTACCTAATGTATATAATTAATGATAAGTACTTCCGTAAAAAACCGATCGATTTCTGCCCTATGGAAAAAATCTTTTCAGAGGTCGCTTTAGTGCTCCGATTCGTGTTTCGTTTTAGTAAACATCAACAACTACACAGAGTTTACGTTGTTTCCCACACAGAAATACACAAACACCAATGCAGTGTCCGCATTCATGATATCTTTCGGTATCTGTCTCTCTCTCTGTGTATCATCTATAGTGACCGTATCGGTGTTTACATGTTTTGAGCGTGTTGCTTTGTGTGTGCGGATGTAAAGTATTTGAAATCTTATAATTGAGAACCAAAACCCAACGGTATGTTGTTGACCAATATACACTCGCAATAGCAGCGATGCAATAGCATTCAGCCACAGTACACATCGGTCGCAACTGTTAAAAGAGTGGGGATTCGTCTGTATATGTGTTGTATAAAGTCTGATTTGTTGTTATGGACATGCGGCGCCTCTTTCGGGATAATTTTGATACCGAAATCGTTTCGGAGATTCTTTACACAAATTTATAAACAAATTTACATAAATTTAGCAACATTGATATAGCCATCCATTGAGTTGGTGATTTTTTTGACCCAATATTTGTTTATAATTGAAACTAATTGAGTTATGTCAATGTATTACGATGATTAACTTAAATTGCTAATATCTTTTGGTCTCGACATGAATTGTAAATTCAAAACTACCAACAGGGACTTGTTTAGATTAGACGTAAAACTTCTCTTCAATTTATCACCTCTTTGATAAATTGAACGATGGCTTTTGCAGTTATTGAGTTCTACACTAATATGTTTAACGCTCCAGTTAGTCTATCATTTCTCAAACGCGTTGTTAAATTATCTTGAATCGTTGACAATCGGCTTTCATTAGACATTTCATGTTTGGTCATTCGCGTAGTCATTAATTAGGTTATTCTTTTGCCTAGTCGAGAACCAATAACTATGTAAAATCAAACTATTTACTGTTATACCCTAAATTGTATAAAAATCAAAAGATCAGGTTTTTCATGACTCTTGGGGTCATTTTCCTGCAAAACCAAATACTCAGCCAGTTTTTTGGTGGTGTTAATAAATAATGAATAATGATAATAAAAAATAAAAATAATAAAGTGAAACTTGTTTATGCCAAAAGAAACTAGAGGCCAGGCGCTACATTTGAGGAACACACCACAGTTAAAGATACAGCAGTTAAAAATGGTTGTATACTTGCAGGAGTACGATTTTTCCAACTGTCGACCTCGATTTGGGGCAGAGGAGAGGGTTTCATGAAGTTAGAATTTTCTACACGTAAGTAGGATTTTTTACGAGCTTCCCGAACATTATAATGGTTTGGGGCTAGGAGCTGACCTGTTTTTGCCCTAAAATATTGATTTTTGGTGTTTTTACGACTTTTCGAGCCTCTCCTGTTCCTCCAGAGGTAAGGGAGGTCCCAACTAATGGTATTATTTGATTCGTTGGAGTCTGCTGAGCATTTCATCAGAACAAACTACCATCGTCAGACCACCTATTCGGTGTGAAAAAAAAATTGTATAGTCGAAAAACCATGAAAAAATGGTAACTCTTGACCACACATAATTTTCTCCTGAATCAACGACAGGGTAGCACACGTGATTTCTCTTCGTTAAATTGAAGAACTCGAGGTGGGCTAACTTTTAAGCGAAACAAATCGGCCACTCTACTGAGATTTTTCACTTTTTATACTTTGAACCCATATTTGAGAGCCTGAATGGGCCCGGATGGTGTGGTCGTAGAAGACTTTTTCATAGCCTAATCGATTATCTATCCAACCATGCATATAGTTATGAAAGTTTGTACCACAATTTTCATATTGTAAAAATGTCAAAAAAGTTCTATTAATGAAAATTCATCATTCTAGTCATTTTTTCGCAAAATTTGGGTCACTTTAATTTTTCCTAGAGGGTAAGAACACGAGCGCTTGAGACGAATTCGTACGAATATTCGTGAATTCTTGTGATTGTGTATACGAGACATTCGAAGCGCAGTGAGTGTACAACGACAATAACAAAGCCACAAACGCATGAATATATGCGAATACACACGAATGACACAACTTGTTCCCTAGAATTTTTCAACAAGTGGGGAAGGTCACCCTAATTTTTTGGCTTTGTGAGTTTTTGGCCATATCAAGTTTATACATCAAGTTTGAGCGAAATCGGAGAGGTGAAATCAGAATTTTGTCCCGCTTGGTGTGAAAATCGTCGTTTATTCAAAATATATTCAAAAGTTTTATACATTACCTCCAAACATTCCAGAGAACATTGAAAAAAGAAAATCAAAACATTCTAACATTTTGACTATGAAAACTTGCAAAATTGAAACTCTACAAATTGTAATATGAAGTTTTAACGCACATTCACTAAAGCACGCGTGTGATACTGCTGCCCACAAGCTAGGAATGAATGCAATCATTCATGTATCCGAAAATGTTCAGTATGTAATATAATAATATATAATAATTATTTTTGCAATTAAAAACAAATCTGCTATCCCGAAAATCCCGGATGATTCAAGATTGTTTGTACTCTCGGTTTGTTTATAAATTACTAATTATGCGTATGAAAATTATATTGACCGTGCACTTTATACATGTCACAATTTTGAAGGGCGAACTCTATCAAAATTTGTACAGTATCACCATTTCATTCGAATTATGACAAATTCATAAGAAAGACTTGGTTTTTTTCGGTTGATTGAACAGTTAAATTCAAAATACCACACTTATATAGTTCACAAAAACTTCAGATAGAAAAAATTATAAATGTGTGTCATATCGTCGTTTCATGACAATTCTGACATACAAGGTGTGTATGTGTATGTGGACTGTACAAAACACCTGTATACGAAAATAAATGGAACTTGTTCAATCTATATATACATCTAACAGTTTTATCGCAATAATATCTCGTTACAACTCGGAAAGTATGAAAAGATTCTGCATTTTGATTAGTCGATTTTTATCTAACGCTCAGTTCAGTAGCTTCAATTCTAATTAGCTCCGTCGTTAAGTTGACACAATGATATTGTTTGAACATTTTAATTGCAAAAATATCATTATATTATTTTTACTGCCGCTGCTGACGATATGTCAAGGACAGATTCACGCACCGTATCAAGTAAGTACTGATTCATATTCATTGTCGATATTTGTAAATTGGCATTTTCCAATACTTTCTTTTCTCTAAGTAATCGGTTTAAAACCCAAAATAAAAGAAGTGACCAATTTTCTAAATAGGGCATCTTATAATTTATTTGTTTGTTTGTACAGATGATATGTAGACTAACTGTTTTTTTCTCCCTCTGCTAATGTCAATGTCGCTTATTTGTACTACGATAATAATAATTCAGGTTCCTCGTAAAATCTTCCGAGAAGACAGTCCAAATTGTATATTTTCTTTACATTTCTTCACATAAATTAAATAAAAATGTTTTGTTTTTTTTCTGGGAATTTTCATTAATAAATTTGTAGGCAAATTCGAAATGTATAATGTTATTTGCATTGTGAATGTATTTTGGATTATTTTGTGCTTCAATCGAGGGGAAAATCACTCTAGAAAATAACTCTTTCGGTTTACAAATTACTTTCACTATTACTTTTTTTAAAAGAATTACAAATTAATTTTTATCATAGAAAAATATATTTTTGACAAGTAATTTCTAATAGAAAAGTAATTTTATTTTATTTTATTTTATTAGATTTTTATTTGATTTAGGTAAAAAAAAAAGGTTTTTTTTAATACAAAAAAACCCAATGACATTTTCTACCTAATTTATCGAATAAAAAGCAATTTGTAGTAATTTTTAGTCGAAAAACTACTTTCAAAATTACTTTTTGTTCAACGAATTCCCAAAAAATTACTTGTCAAATAGAAATTACTTTTGAGTGATTTTCCCCTCGGCTTTAATAGGAAGGCAATGTTGACAATGATCATGTGCTCGAGATAAGATATGAGATGAAAAACACATTTTTTTCTTTATTCACAGATTGGACTTTTTCTATTTGACAATTATAATCCAAATTTTGGCGCGAAAAACTTCCCGATTTGCTCCGCAGGTATCAAGTTGAATACAAGATGTTGATATAACAAAAAATTTAATCAATATTTTTAATCGGCAGCAATTATTCATCCATTATTTTCCGTGACTACAGCCGATTGTGTCCATGCCCACATCACTAAGCACAATATCGCGTAATTGACGAAATCATTTGTATGACAAAATTTTTTTTTTAATTGTTCAATATTTATCTCTTACAGTCGACCATTTCTGCCAACATCGATCTATGTAAAGTCTGGAAATTTTTCGGAAATAAGAGACAATATCAAATATGTGCGCGCAATTCATATCCACCCGGAATTTAATGGTACCACATTGAAAAATGATATTGCATTGGTACAGGTAATTATTTCAGTCAATTGCGTACGAAAAATTGGAGCAAAATTTGATACAATGTTAAATTGTTAGGTTGAAGCTTCATTCCAATTTGATCATTTATACACTGAACGGTGGGTTGAGTTGGCAAACCTATTTACGAGCTATGAAAAATGTATTTATAGCATAAATACACCAAATGTAGGGGTAAATCCGATTTGAATACAAGATTTGATTGTTCTAAAACACATTATATCCATTGAATTGCAATTGCAGTCAACAGATCTCTATCCATTCACCGATTTCAAGCGAACAACCGCTGTAAACAATAGCGTTTGTTATGGGAATGCTTCAGAAATTGATAGCACCAATATATGTTCATTTTATGAATTTGATCATCCGTTCATGTGCCAAATTCCCGCAGATCAGTTGAGACTTAGTCGTGATCGCGGAACACCACTCATTTGCGATAATAAATTAGCTGGCTTACTTTCCATTATCATACCTGCTAATACAACAAACTCAACAGATAATTGTGCAAGAACTTTAAAGACCAATGCAGCTTATGTTAATGTAGCTTTGTACGAAAAATGGATACATAGCATTATTGGTATAAATTCTCCAGAACACACTGCAGATGGAAAACCCATCAACTTGATACCAGCCTCACCACCATATCAAAGTAAGTGTGAATAATTTAAATACTTCCAGCAATTCAAATATGTTTATATAAATCAAACTCATCATTTTCAGATCATCTGACTATTTCAAAACCAATACGACCAGGTACAAGTACTGCACCAATGATAAACGGTTCATGTTCCATCATGGTGATGCTAATTGCTTTTGTCACATGTTTACTAGTCCGTAAATTTTCAGCGGTTTAGTTTGGTCGTTCACAAGATGAACTAAAGAAAATTAGCCACGAGATTTTATCTCATTTATTTGAACTGTAGATAAGGGTGTTCAGGTTTGGGGAGTCAAATAAGAATATATGATTTCTACGTAGATTTCGGCCCAAAAAATCGGAATCAAACAATAAATCGTCCTTCATTGCTAATAAATTTGGAATTTCACCGAAATATAACCGTTTTTATGTGTTAGTATTAATTGACTCTTTGTAGCTCAAATTGTCTAATGTTCTAAAAATTGGCAATGTGAACCGATCCTTATGACATTTGACATTCACTTCAGCAGTTTTCGAAATGTCACAGACGCCGCATCATTCATTCCGAGAAAACATACAGCGTTGTGAACACCAAGTCAACAAATTGAAACTCTTACATTTTATCTTACAATTTAAACTGGAAATTTACACTGCAATTTAATTTATCTACGATTTTGCTGGTATTTCATTTCGTATTATTTTCGATTTACGTGCGTTTTGTATCGATTTGATCCGGAGTTCACATTGAATTCAAGTCGCCAAAGTGTGAGTAAACTTGATCATTTCAATATCTTCTTCTTTTTGTGGAATTCATTTTAAAAACGTAATATAAGCATTTATAACGTGAAATATATTGAACATATCAACAGTAATATTAGATTCCATGTACAAAAGTAATGAATTTCACAATAATTCTGCAGTAAATAGTTCTGTTACATGTGATGGTGAAATACGTGTGATGGTGAAATTCATTTTATGCAATGAATTGAGTCCATTGTTCGGAGAAGAGAAACAGTTAATCGATTACTGTTCGAACTCAAATTGAATCAATGCCATTGTTATCAAACCGAAGTCATTTTTGTGTGTCTCATTCTGTTGTCATTTTCAAACTAAATCGAATTTAAGTTTCAATATTATTCGTTTTCAAACTAAATCGAATGTGTGTTTTTTTTCTTTCAGTAGGACAATGGCGAATCGTTTCAAGCCATCAATACCAGCGGAGGGAGAGACGAAAGATGAAATTACGACGATCAAATGTGCGCTAAAGACAATCATTCGCCCACAATACCAGCAAGCATTGATGAGCAAAATAACGGATCTGAGTTAGCAAGCCACTTCCATTTGTGTTTTGGGCTCATTGCTGTTCTTGTTTGAGGTGCAAAAGGCATTCGAATATAGGCGTCGAGAACAATAATTTCGCATTGTTTGGTGGAAGTGGAGAAGATAAGATCAAACTCTGCTTTGAACAAGTGCTATGGCACAACAATCAGCCACCAAAACCGAAGTCAAGGTATAAACCAAGCGGAACAAAGCCACGAGGACCACGAGCAGAGCTGCCACGTATCGATCCTGAATTCAAAGCAATTGTCGAAGGTCTTGACGACTATCATCGTATCGATTGGCCCAACAACAAAGATTTCAGCAATGGCCTTAAGCATTTGACAAATCAGTACACAGATAACGTCGTCACCAATTTAACAACGCATGCTAACAAACACATCACCCAGTACTTGGTACTGAAAGTGTTCGAATTGAACTCAAACTTGGAAGAGGATGGAGAGAAATTTTTGCCAAGTGACATCGCAAGTGTTGTGAATCTGATCATCAAACAAAAAGACATCAAAGTGCCAATTCGCGATCCAGACAAACTCGTACGGTGTGAGGTGTTGTATGATATTGTGAGAGATTGCAATGTGTTCCCAGAAATCGATCTGCATGACCTTACAACTGACCCAAAACATTGGTATAAGGCCATGCCAATGTACCTATCCATGCAACGTGAGATAGAAGAATACCATGCGATGTGGCCTCATCAACACCGATCGAAACGGAAGAAACGAAAGTGCAAAAAGTCAAGAAGAAAGAGGAAGCGCAAACAGATGCTCGACAACCCAGATTTTCGGCCATTGATTCGGAATTTAGTAGTGGTGCCGATGTGTGATTTCCGGCGTACGCACTTCAGAATCGATTGTACATCTATGCACCAGGTGTTGTCTTCGCAAAAATTGCTACCGAAAGTGGAAATTGAGAATAAAAAAGGAACAACAAGCACGAAAACGATTCAACAAAAGGATTTCAATCATTCGAGAGATTATTGGTGGAATCAGTATTTTTACATGCGAAAAATTCGACGATTCGTGCGTGCCAAAAAGCAGTTTGACTATTCCATAAACACCGATGGAATCTCTGTGTCTCTCCAGTACTCGGCCAAAAAGAAGACAGACAACAAAGAAATCGACCAAAAATCTCGCATCATTCAGAAGATTGAGGATGGCACAATAAAAAATTATTCGGGCGTTGATTCAGGTGTGCGAAGTTGGAATACCACAACAACACACGACATTGAAACTGGCAAAGAAGTAAGTTTTGTATACATTCGAATAAGTTGTGTGTATTTTAATAGAAAATGCTCAAGTGCCAAAACTCAATAACTATACCTTTTTTTCTATTTATTTTTTCAGACCAACTTTGTAATGTCGAGCAAGCAATTCCACTGGCAAACAGGTCAAAAGGTGCGAAATGCCAAAGCAAAGCGATGGACCAAAAATTTCGTCGAAATGGAGCGCGCAGACAGAGAAAATCGTGATCTGTATCCAGTGATGCCGTCGCCAAAGGGGTCAATGTGGCTGAACTACATCAAACATCGAGTCAAGATGATGAAGCATGGAATCTGCGCTTACTCGACTGCCAAATACACTCGACTCGCCTTGGACAAACACATCAAGAGCAGTAGTGTTGTCGACGAATGGGTGAATAAGGTGACCGATAAGAAACCGACTCTGTTCTTTTTTGGTGCTGATGGCGAAATACCACCTGATAGCCCAATAAGTATCAAATGGCACGTGCGGTGCCCAGGGGTGCGTAAGACTTTGAGGTCAATAAAGAAGCGCCGAGATTGTTTCATACAATTGGTGGACGAATGGGGAACATCTCAAACCGACGCAAGATGTATGAATCGATTCCAAAACCAGAACAAAGCGGCCAGATTCAAGAAATGCCGATGCGTACCCGACGCCAGAACATTGCTGCCAACGAAAATTGTGTCAAAGTTGGGCAAAACGGATCTATCGATCTACCGACAGTTGCAACGCGCCATGAACGAAGAAGCATTGGTAGGAGACGAGCGTTTATTCCCAAAAGTAAAATGTTACTACAAAAACTGGCGATTAAACCTCGAATGCTCTGTGATTTGGCATCGTGATGTCGTGGCTGCTAAGAACATTCTACTGAAAGGTAAGGCTAATTGACGCACAATTTTGATTGAATGATTTTTTAAGAAGGTTCATTTGTTTAATTGTTCAGGACTATGGACATTACTGGGACTTCCGATACCAGAGGCGATCAATAGGTATTGGCGCGAAGCTGCTGAAGCAGCCGCTGCTGTTGCCGCTGCTGCTGCCGCTAGAGCAACCGCTGAAGCAGCCGCTGCTGCTATCGCCATCGTGGATAATGATGTAGAAATGTTCGAGTACGACCAACAGCCAGCTGATCATGCTGTCTAATCAGCACATTGCAAACAAAAAAAAACAAATGTAACATTAGTTATTAAAGGCTATCCCGATCATGTGGGATAGTTGCGTTGAAGCAAGTTGACTCCCCATCTGGTTGATGTTAACTGCGCAGGAGTACTCTAGTGGGTCGTTTAGGTAAGCATTATTCGATTTTGCAAAGAGTTTTTTTTTCTTCTGGAAGTGTTGTATAACGCTCTATTAATGCTACCAGTTGACATAAAATTGGCTTCTCTTTAAATTTATGCTATTCATTCTTCTTTTTCAGATTAGCTGAACACCCTACGACTGTAGAATAAGCTTCCAATGTGTAAATAATTCTGATGGAAAAAATAAATTTGCATCCAAATCAAGTTACTCTTTCGGATTGTAATTCAAATATGTTTATCTTATTATTGAAAGAAAAAAAAGTGAGACCTTCATTCGTAATTGAAGATCAAACATTCATTTGCATGGCATGCACTCTAGTTCTCATACAAAACTCCACACTTTGCACAAAATTCAAACGTGGGAAACCTTTCAAAGGTTTAGTAAAAGTGGAATTTTGAAAGATGTCAAGCTATGTCACATTAAAACATAACCTCAATCACTTGAAGTGTTCCGTTCAAATAATTGATTCTCGTAGGTAACAATAAGATTTTCTTTTGTGAATTATTTTAAATAAAAAGCAGAATGACATCGGCTGCAAATAGTGAACCACCTCAAGAGCAGGGCCAAAAAATCGAGAACAAAATGAAGCCCAACGAACAAGAAGACAACCAAAGTTCAGACTGGGCGGAAAGGATTGCGAAAACAGACTTCTTCAATACCAACTCTGAGAAGAAAGAATCGAAATGGGGTTATGACTTATATCCAGAGCGAAAAAAACTCTTTCAATCGTCGATTTCTAAAATTTTAAAAATGGAAGAAGGTCGTGAACAATTTGATAAAATGAAGTGTGAAGAAAACGTGTTCAAGTGCGTGAAATCGAGTCCATTAGTAAAAACCATGATGGGCGCACTGAAATCGGCTGGATGGTAAGTGAGATGATGCAATCGCAAAGCAAAACATCTGTAAAGTAATTCGATTCATTGTTCGTTATTAGTCCTATAGATTTGAGACGACACATTTCCTGTGAAATTTGCGATGAATCCGTAACGGGAGGCTACGATCCTGAACTCAATCAGATCGTTATATGCCAAAATACGTCGAAAAGCCGTGGATTTGTTCAAGGAGTTTTGACACATGAAATGATTCATATGTTTGACTATTGCACAAATAATTTGGATTTTAAAAATATTGAACATCTAGCCTGTACCGAAATTCGTGCCGCAAATATGGCCCATTGCTCATTCTTGGGTGCATACGTTCAAAACGATGCTGATATGTTCAATATCAGGAAAAGACATCAGGTAGGATTGACATAAAAATGTAATATGATGTGTGAATTTCCTCTAACACCTCTCTCTCTCTCTGTGTGTATTAACAGGATTGCGTCAAAACAAAAGCATTGTATTCAGTGTTAGCTGTCCGAAGAAATATTTCGAAAGCAGAAGCAATTCGAGTAGTAGAGAAAGTGTTTCCAAAGTGCTATGCAGATTTGGAACCGATAGGCCGACGCTGCCGAAGAGGTTCAGCTGATCCAGAACGTGCGTTCGCCGAATCTAAATATTATGGCTATCATTAAATTCAAAATGCATTTGGTGGCCGTTATTTTTTTATTGACATTTGTATATCATTGTTAAATAATATTATGTGCACCAAGTGATTTAGCTAATAAATTAGTAAATTTCAGGAACGGTTTGTGTAGGTATATGTAGAAGCATTGATTTAAGAATCAATACAATTTGAAGAATTCAGGGCATTTCTCCGGATCCATCCATATCAACGTCATCTCCGCTCTCTAAGAACATTTGAAGAAGAAGAAAAGAGTGAACATAAGAATGAACATTTTTCTCACCAAAGAAAAGGATTATTACTAACTTGGAAATAATAAACCCACAACAATATCGAATATAATCGGCAGCAGGTCGCAGTTTTCCATAATTGTACTCGATCTTCGAAAAGTGAAAAACACACAAATAAACAACAATATTTTGGAAGAACAGAAATACACCTCTCTGAGAATGCTTGGTTTGAACTGCGGCCAGTGTTTTTCATTCAATGTATGGGACTGTGTGGGGAATTGGTCGAAATGATTATATTAAATTTTTTAATTGCTGTTGACCAATGTCAATGAATTTTGCGCATCAGCGAATGTTCTATCTTTTTTTGTAATTAAAAACATTTTTGGTAAAAATGAATACTTTGTGCTCGACAATTAAAAACCGCTTTGATATTATGAATATCACTATGATGTTTACATTTTGTGTGACAAGCAGACTTCTTAGCGAGTAATAAATATAATTGGTCGGTATTTCATTTCATTTCATTTTAAAAAACGACGACAACATGAAACATAACATGCTATCTATAAAATTCAAAATAAGCTATAGCTAGATATGTGCCTGGAATCGGATGTATTTGGGTTGATAATTGTTGAATGGGTAGTATCCCTATTGAAAAAAAATTATTTGAACAGAATACTGTTTTTCGTGAGGGATGAATTTAGATTATTGGTGGACATTTTTTGTTGATGCTATTTGACAATTGAACGTAATAGTTTATATTTTGCAGCTGTTCGCGTGCTATTCGGCATTATAATGGAAAAGTGTGCAAACATATTCAGTTTTCAGACACAAATAAATTGAAAAAATGCAATCTAGTTGCATTTTTGTGGCGAGAAGATCTGCAAAAGTTGTGATTTTTCAATAAATGCAGAATCATCAGTTGTTTTTTTACACTTTGTTTTTGTGCGGCATACTTTTGAGTTCAATCAAATGCAATCAACAAATATATAGAATAGTGAATAATTAAACGTAGGTTATTCTAATCGCTAATGTATTCATTCCGTATGAATGAAAAAAAAAATTGTCTTCAATTGTTTCATTGTGTGAACAAATGCAGTTGGCTATCTATATCGTTTCAATCGATGAGAATCAACGAAGCTTATGTAGTTTTCATTGCTTTTTTACTAATTGTGATTTAGGTTTTGCATTAAAAAAAAAATTGCAAATATTTTCCACTTTGTTTTCTATATGTTTCGTTTGAAAATTCTTGACTCACAAGAACGCTGAATTATAATATACAATACTTTGACTCTAATCGTCGATTGCTGCTTTATCGCCGGTTTAGTCTATTTCCTACAATCATTTTAATTGACACTCATTGTGTAAAACCGGGAGCATTTTTTTCTTCAACTTGTAATTTTACAAAGAAAACGTTCTACGTCCATGTTTCGAATTTCGTGCTCGATATCAGTTCTGTCGACGTTTATCACATTTAAAAATAGAGCTTTTTTTATCTCCTATGCATGTATCCATTTTTTTTTTCTCGAGAATTTGTAATTTCAGTTTACTCTGTGGATTTGTGACCAACAGTTTGATTCACATTTTGCTTTATTTATTTATTTATTTACACTTTCAGAATAATTTAGTCATATATGACAAACTTTAACGTCACGTAATATAGTCTCTGTTAAAGTGTGTTAATTTTTATCTAACATTATTTTATGAAACCGAAATTGATAACAATCGTATATTACTGTTGAGCAGAGCGGTCAATTTTTAGATGTCATTTCGAGAATTAGATCATGCATTTTTATTTACTTTCCAATGCAATTCACAGTGTTTGTAGATATCAAGATTACTAAAATGCGAATATGTCTTTTCATTCGAAGGCTAAGCAGTAAGATATGGGTACTCTAAATGAAATGAGCGGTATGTTGTTCATGTCATGTGACTTTTGATTGAATATCATAATCACCAAATATCTTATTTTTCCTACTTTTATTTCATTCATTCTCAGGTGTTCGGAATATAACTAGTCGCAGATCTCTGGCACCACTACTAGTTGGTATTTTAGTGGGCTTTTTAGTAGCAACTGTATTTATATCTGCCGAACCAAATTCAATATGGTTGAATTTTTCGGGTAGACGTAACGTTGATTTACGTGATCCCCATACTGGAGGTGATTTGGCAGATGCAGAGGGGCCTGAGAAGGATGTTGGTTCACATGCAAATCACGAAGGAGCACACGCACATGAAAACAAATCCGTCGCACATCAATTATATAATGATGTAAGAATTCTTTGCTGGATTATGACAAATCCAAAGAATCACCAGAAGAAAGCACGGCATGTTAAACGCACCTGGGGTAGTCGCTGCAATCGCCTCTTGTTCATGAGCTCAATTGAAGGTACCATTTGTTTTATATCTAATCGTGGAAAATTGCAATGAGTGTATTGATAGATTCCAATGATATTTCCATTTAGACCCTGAGCTGGAATCGATTGCGTTACCAGTGAAAGAAGGACGTAACAATCTGTGGGTAGGTATCTGATAAAAATTTTGTTTTTAATATATTTTCATTACTTTCATTAAGTCAATTATATTTTTGTTATCTTTACCTAGGCTAAAACCAAAGAAGCATTTAAATATATTTACAAACACCATATGGATGAAGCTGATTGGTTCCTAAAAGCAGATGACGATACATATGTCATAGTCGAAAATTTAAGATACATGCTGTACCCATATTCGCCAACGTTCCCCATATATATGGGGTGTAAATTTAAAACATTTGTAAAACAGGTGAAAAAAAAACAGTGTTCATTGACCACTGAATTTCATTATTAAATTATTTACGATTATTTTAGGGTTATATGAGTGGAGGAGCAGGCTATGTTCTGTCAAAGGAGGCAGTAAAACGATTCGTTGAAGACGGTATCCCAAATAAAAACAAATGTAGACAATCGGCTGATGGCGCGGAGGATGTAGAAATTGGTAAATTCAAAGCTGAATATTTTGAAATGCATTGAAAAATCTAATACATCCAAATTGTGTACATAGGAAAATGTCTTGAGAAAGTCAATGTATTCGCGGGTGATTCACGAGATAGTCTTGGCCGTGGACGTTTCTTTCCTTTTGTACCTGAACACCATCTGATTCCTGGACATGTGGACAAAAACTTTTGGTATTGGAAGTATATTTTCTATGAAACGGACGAGGTATGCAAATTATTGCAGTAGACCAACCGATTCATATTCTAATGATAATTGTACTTGACTAGGGTTTGGATTGCTGCTCTGATAATGCTGTTTCATTCCACTACGTATCTCCAAATCAAATGTATGTATTGGATTATTTGATTTATCATATGCGGCCATATGGAATTGTTTCGCATTCACAACCATTACCAGAGAAACTGCTCTTTTCCGATATAGCCGGTAACGAACAAATTACAATAACGAGCGATAGCAATAAAAACAAACAAAACTAGTGGACTAAGGAATTCGGTCACAAATTTTATACCAAAGTATATATTATTAATGAAGTTATTGATGAAATCTCAAATCACAAGTGTGAAACTCTGTCACGAAAACGAGAGGAATATTGATTAATTCTGTTTTGTTCATTTGTTCTAAACACAGTGTGTATAATAATTATACTTTAATTTAATGATGGAAGCATGAACAAATTCTCGATGCCATAGAGAATCTACCAGTTTTTTTTTTGTTAAAAGGAATGCGTGCAGAAATAAACAAAAATGAAACAGAATAATCTTTTTTGTATAGTCATTTGAATTGTTCTTCTCATACGAAACAACACAGTATTTGTATCAAAAACATTCAAAACAAACTGTCAAATTTGCATTAGCCCCTATCGGAAGGTTTTCGACAAAACTGTCAACCTACAACGTGCTATGTGACATCAAAATACTCATGGTTTGATCTGAGTAAAAAAAAAGTTTTATTCGTACGCTGGTCAAACAAATTGATAAAAAAAATGGTGAAAAAAGGTAATAAAATAAAAGACCCGTTGCAGCAAGCGCTCCAAATTTTCGAAAAGACTACAAAATCTCCAATTGACTACCTAAAGTAAGTTAATTTTATGAAATGACATAGTTGATGTTCACATTTTCATACAAATCAACATGAATATTCACTTTCAGGGAGCAGAAAGATTTTGCCGAAAAGAATCGTTTGTTGCTAAAATCATTATTTGATTATGCAAAAACATCGGGATCACATTTTGAGTCCAATAGTTTGCCGTCCGAAATATTTGTTGAACACATGGATGAAGAGCAAATATGGCAACAACTAGAAATGCAAAATGGCTCATTTTGGGAGAAATGCATGACAGAAACTTGCCGGCTGCTGTCGTTAAATGAAAATAAATTGATGCTGAAAACCAAGTATGCAGGACAAGAACAAGAGGTGGAATCACCAGAAGAAAATGGGAACGCGTTAAGCGATGATGAAGTTTCTAGCAGAGAAGATAATGCTCAGACAAGCCATGATTTGGAGCGGTCAGATGACGAAGAAGGCGATGAAGATGACCAAGAAGCCAGTGAAAACGACGAAAATTATGTGGTCGATAGTGACGTCGACCGAAAAGACAAATGCAAGGTGTCGAAAGGCAAAGAAACATCAATTGTCGACGATCGATTTTTCAATTTGAGTGAAATGCAAGCTTTTTTAGATGGCGAGGATAAAAAAGAGCTTGATCGACTTAATGGCAAGCGTAATGCTAATGACCAAAATGAGTCAGACGATGAAATCGACTATTTCGATTCGTTATCTGGCAGCGAAGATAGTGATGTTGAGGACGGAAAAAAAGAAAAAGATATGATGTTCGCCGACTTTTTTGATGTGGAACCAACCGAAACACTAGAACAGATCAGGCAACGCAGAAGAGCCGAAAAAGAAGCAAAAAATCTTCGCAAGAAGCAGGAAATGAAAGAAGATTTAGGGCTGGATGACAGTGAGGCAGAAAATAGCGAACAAGAAGGAGATTCTGGGTCCGATGAAAGTGATGAAGATGACCAAGTCGAAAAATCTGAGTATGACTTACGGCAGCAGCGTCTCAAGAAACGAATTGAAGCGCTAGAGGAAAAAGCGCTAGCTGAAAAACCATGGCAACTTAAGGGTGAAATAACTTCATCGACGAGACCGAAAAATTCATTGCTTGAAGAAGTATTAGAATTCGATTCAGTTGCCCGTCCACCGCCATTAATCACGGAAGAGACGACTCTGTGCTTAGAAGACATAATAAAACGTCGCATCAAGTCAAAAGCTTGGGACGATGTCGAAAGAAAAATTAAACCGATCAATGATCAACAAGACTTCCGCAAAAATTTAGTTTTGCAGCAAGAAAAAAGTAAAGAGTCACTTGCACAGATTTATGAAAAAGAATATTTAGAAAAAGTTCATAAACTAAATAATGTGGATGATGCATCGAAGCCGGATGAACCAGCCGAACATACTGGAATAAGAAGAGCGATGAAAGACTTGTTTGTCAAATTAGATGCTTTATCAAATTTCCACTTCACATCGAAACCGGTAGCAGCCGAAGCAAAAATTATAACCAACATACCGGCGATAGAAATGGAAGAGGTGGCACCTGTAGCAGTGAGTGATGCAACATTGCTTGCGCCAGAAGAGGTTCGGGCGCGACCTGTTGGTGACGAAATCGGAAAGACGGAAAGAACTGCCACAGATAAAAAACGTGAACGTCGTAAGAAGAAACTGAAGCAAAAAGTTATCAAACAACGGAACGATAAGCAAGTAGAGGAGAAGGAAAAGTTGGGCATCAAGGTCACATCGAAGGAGAAACAACAGCAATTAATGAACCAAGTGACCAAAAGCAGGAATGTCATTAAGGTAATTTATGGCATTGACAGTGAATCATTATTATTTATTGTCACACAGCTGAGTGCAGAGTACATCCACAGAATCTGGCATTCTTTGTTCGTTTTTAATAGTGTTTATTATTGTCGTGGAGTTTGATTTGATGCACGAAAAGTGAAATCGTTCGAGGTCAATCACCTGTAGGGGATTCAGTATTCGTTGGGCTTGTGTAAAAAATACTATACTACTACAATTCCACACGAAATTATAAATAAATATACTCACCTCATATAAACACCTCTAACAATATAGTGCTATATCCCATATTGCTCAATTGATTTGACAAAAACAAAGAAACAGTAAAAACAATTATAAATCGCATTAAAATGCATAGAAAAGAACTAGATAATCATAGAAATTGCCATATGTGTATACAAAATCTACATTTTGTATTTAAAAATCTTTAATCATTAATATGTTAATTAAGATCATTTTTTAAATTGTTTTATCATTAATGTTAATTGCTCCGTTTTCATTCATTCCAGGGCAAGCATACAGCCAATGACGAGAACAAAGCCTTAAAATCATCGAAAACTTTCTTCACGCAGTTGCAGGACAACATCTCGGCAACGGTCAAATCAAAGTCAATGGGCAAAAAAAAATCGTCAACTGATTTTTCAAGAGAAGAATCAAATGCAAAAAGATTGAAATTGTAAAAAAAATGAAATGTCAAATTTATTACATGAATAAAGTTTATATTTATTCAATAAACTCTGAGTTCTTTGGAAAGATTTTTTCAATCTATGATTAAATTAAAATAAAATCTTTCCATGTATTAGACTTTGCGGTACAAATAAATTTTGTCGTTTTTTAACAACTACTCAGAGTTCTTTGTTGGACTTCAGATCAACAAAATCGACTATTACTAAACTTAAAATGAACACACACAATCACAATAGGTGTTCATGAGAACACGATCTCTGTGAATTTCATACGTTTTTGTCTTTGACATCTTGGTTGCGCAAGTATAGTAGTTTCAGTGGGCTGTCTTGCCAAAAGAAGTTATACCACTCATCTCACATCATCATCAAGTTTATTGAATGTGATGCGATGACTATTCGTATTCGTGTTCGTTTTTGTATTTGAGTTATGTGTCACATCTGCGAAATATGCGAATAGCTTACGTTAAGAGATCCGTGACTAAGAAAAAAAAACGTTTTCTTTGAAATAATTCAAGTTTATATATTACAATTAAATCTATGACAGCAAAGAAAAAAGAAAATAGCGAATTTTCTTATCACGATTTAGCTACTGTGACGTAATTGAAGCAAAGTTATCGTCATCATGTATAAACCGCGGCATAAATGATGTTTGCATTGCTGAATGGTTTTGTGTGATCGTTTTAATATTTGTAAAATGTGACCGCTTCGGAAATGTATATATTAGCTATTCTTGCCAATGAAGAAATTGGCGTGACTTGGTTCATGTCATATCACATTATTCAACAGACGTCCACATTTTGTGTGCGCAATAAATTTCGCACAGATTCCATAAAAGGTGAACTATAGAGTAAATCCGTTGTATTCTCGGCGCCGAATGAAGCTATTGAATACATAAAGACTTTAATTAACGCAAGCTAGACCTCTGATTTCGATCTTAATTCATTAGTTGGTTTTGATTCCGCCTCGAAGTATTTTTTTTATATTTCGGCCATTCCACACGAAATCAGGGAAGAGTTGTAATGTGAGGTCGCCGAATTGGCTGAAAATTGGCTTGGAGTCTTGTTTTCAATAGAAAAAGAGAAAACCAAAATCTCAGGCCTGTAATAGGCCCACATTGCTGAGTTAACCCAGTGTAAATTTTGCGGAAAATTGAAAAAAATCGAAAAAAAAGGTTTGCGCCAACTGAAATCTAACTTTTTTTTTTTTTTTTTTAAATTCACACAAAGTGTGTGACTTTTTGTATTGCCTCCTTCTTGTTCCGAATGAAAAAGCAAAAAAAATTTTATGATTCCATTTGATCGATATATTTCGGCTTATCAAAAGCCATCTTCAGGATCTAAAATGAAATAATTTTTCACAATTTATCAATAAATAACCTAGATTTCGTGTGTAAATAAATAAATTTACCAAGAGCCAATTGACTAACACTGTGAATCTAATTTTCAATAACAAACAATGCAGCGAAATGTCAAAGTTGAAATCTAACTGTGAAGTAGTCGACACATTGCCAAACCGATTTTACATATAAGACGCTGAATTGAGACAAAAATGGTAAGCAAATTGGTATATTTTCATTTGTTTCGCTGGAAAATAGAAGCCATTCACGGTTGAATGCAGAATAGGGAATTTTTGAAGCAAAAAAGTGTTTTTATCGCGAGTTGAAAACATCCTCTGAAGCAGGGTCATTTTTCGACCTTTTAGACCCATCAGACAGGATTGAGATAAGTCTCATTCGATTTTCCGTCAAGAATTACGTGGAAATAGAATCATGACAGCCATTGTAGGTGGGTTTTCTATGCCACAAATGCGATTTTGTAAGCAGATTTCGACCATTCGTTTGTTCTATGAAGAAAAGTCAGTTTCGGATCAAATTTATAGGTAAACCGATGTAAAAAAGATCGTTTTTCATGTGTTTTGACGAAAAAATAGCAGTTTTCTCATATCAAAATGTCGTAAGAGGCCATTTTCGACCATTTTTCCCACAAAAACGCTGAAAAATCGGTACCATAGGTTTGGCAATGTGTCAACTACTTCACAGTTAGATTTCAGTTGGCGCAAACCTTTTTTTTCGATTTTTTCAATTTTCCGCAAAATTTACACTGGGTGAACTCAGAAATGTGGGCCTATTACAGGCCTAAGATTTTGGTTTTCTCTTTTTTTATCGAAAACAAGACTCCAAGCCAATTTTCAGCCAATTCGGCGACCTCACATTACAACTCTTCCCTGATTTCGTGTGGAATGGCCGATTTATTTCACGCAAATAGTAATTTTCAAGTTCAAAAAGTCATTTGTTTCTTGCAATTTCTGAATTTCGTATGAGAATTGATTCATGGATCATGTCGTAACTGAAATCGCTTCATTGTCCGAGCTAAAATCGCAGAATTTAAATTTTTTCTAGAAATCGTTCTAATGGTCAGTGGCACTATAATGTGATTGACCTCCGAATAAAATATAATATGCGCACCATTAAGTGTATGCAACATAAGCTAAAAGACTTGCGGTCTTTGTCCAATAGCCGAAGATTTACAACGTCAGAATATTGTTGCGCTTCTATTAATGTATAAAATACAATTGACGTAAATCGCTTGGTTCGTGAGACTTAATCGGATTCGTTTATCTTGCATTTTTTTCACGGATTATTAACGACTAACGTTGAATGAACAGATAGCGAGAACGTGATTACCCCGCTTTATAATTGCCATGCATGTTTTTTTATGAATATGTTAGTTTTGAACGAAAAATATTTCGAATGTAATAAAGGCTTTTGTGATTGTACCATCGTTTTCCCCAGTCAAAGCAAACAGGTTTGTGCTCGACCAAAGTCTTTTTCCCCCAAAATTTATCGAATCATCCACGGTTGTCACACACATTAATACTAAATTTCCTATCATCGTCACACAAAATCTCTATTCACACATCTGCATTCACTGATCGCGAAATGAAAAATAAGTAGATAAATTCAACATCTGAAGAATACACTGATACGCTGCTCATCACCACTATTTTTCTAGATAATTTGAAACATCTACATTCATCTTCAACACATACATTCATCGTTTGTGTTCATTTTTAGTTTCGTTGTGAATACAATATCCATACCTAACAGTGAGTCAATAATGGATCTTATAAGCGAAAAGAGTGCAGACACACATCAACGTTGCAAGTAAAACTCACAAATACAACTTCCCACTTTTTCATTTTGTTTCTCTGTATTTTTCGTATAAAATTGGGAAGAGGTATTTGTAACTGTATTAAACAAATAAAGGTACACATAAACTCAGTTATACACGTCTCGTTTGGCAAAACGGTTGTTTTCGTGCTCTTCCACCTCGATATACAAACGGTGTTCGTCTCTTCTCAAAGTACTTTCATACATATTTGGTTTTATTTGAAATTCAGTTTGTGAAGTGAAATCGAATGCGGGCAAAATTACATAAAGAAAATACACAAGTATTATTGCTGTAAATCGATGCCGTCGGAATTGAGCTATTACTTGAATGCGACCCAAAGTATGAAACGAGGAAAAATATTCTCCGTTTCTCAATGATTATGAAACAGAGGTGAAGGTGTGCAAAAGATCATCATCATCACCATACAAATTATCAAATCCAAACAATTCAAGAGACTCTGTTTGTAAATTAACGCAATTTTTACGATACTCCACATAATTATGAAAACATGATTCGTTCTCTCCAAGCAACTAATTTTTATCTACCATTTTACTGTTGATATTTATGTGAAATCCACAAAAAATATCAAAATAAAATTGAGGAAAGTGTAAAGAGCCACAGAAACATTCAAATTCCAAGGTATAGCACAGACAGATGAAATAACAAGTAGCAAGAAAAAAATTCGACATTTACATTAACAATAACAGAACTAATGATGAGCGGGCAAGCAAATAAAACAAAAGCACCAGGTCAAAAGAAACCACAACAATCAAAAGTGTTCACTTGTTGTTGTTAGTGATTTTGTGAGTGTGGTGATAATAAAAAAAGACTTGTTTGTGTTGTGTGTGTACTGTGCAATCGTTCCAACGGAACCCAAAAAAAGTGAATTTGTCTGGTGCATGAATGCGAGAGCGAGAGTAAAAAGACGCAAATATAAATCATCATAACCAGAAAAATAACAATACAGAGGGACATTACATTGACATCAACCAAACACGTCGACATCGGTGCAATGAAAATGCAGTTTGACTATTTGTGATTTGCTCATTTCTGTTGATTGTCATTTATTTGCTTCTCAATGTAAGTGTGTACGTTTCGAAGTAAGAGAGACAAACATTGTTTCAAAAAAGTTTTGTATATTTAATGTAGTTCCGTTTGGATTTTCTACTCGTTAAAATGTTTAATTGGATTTCAAGCGACAATTTCAATGGTCAAATCAATTGTTCAATTGCATTGCAACGTTTTGTTGTTGTTGCAACTTGAGCGTATAGTGTTTCGTAATAATTTTAAGTTTTAGCTAATTATGTGCCGTGATTTGAAGTGAGGGTCTTTCCTATTATCGCATAAAATTCCATCAAACATGGAAGAATGAAGTTTTTCAAAGTTAATCGGTTGATTTATTGATTTGAGTTTGAGAGTTTGTACAATTGTACATTTTTCACGGTGAAAAAAAAATACTTATAGTGAATCCATTCATTTCAATCACAGTCAATATTAGAATATTGCCTAACACATTGTGTCATACAATAACCGTGGATCAAGAAAAAAAAGCGGAATAATAATTCTAATTATTTATGGTTTTATAGTATAGTATAGTAATTTTATTCATTGAAAATCATTTAAGATCATACATTAGGCGCGTATGTGTTTTCGTAAAACTAATATTTTGTGTTCAACAATGACACAAAGTGGCAAATTGGTGTTGTTTGCATGAAGCTTAAATCATATTGCAACTTAAAAGGAGATATTCGTGTCACCGATTAAATATCACACCGAAAATATTTAAGCTAAATAATAAATATTACGAACTTGCCTCTTTTTTATTATTTTGTTTCCAGTTGTAAGGTTCGCTACTACTATTTTACCTCATCCGATGCATGGTAAGGCAATTTCATCATATACCATTTTTCCGTTTCTTCTTCTCACTGTATGCATATATTTTTTGCGTAATTTCATTAACATGAATTGCGCTACAGATAAATAAGAAAAAATAGGTGATAATTTGAGTTATTATCATAACAATAATGGCGGGTCCAAGTGGTTAGAATTACAAAATATTTGACATTGATTCGTAACTCGTAACCGCACACTTGAGTTGAACATCAAAATAAATAGTTCAAAATAGTATGTTGGTAGATGCATTAGTTTTGCAATGCAAAACCATGATAATTGGAATGATCGTATCATTTCCTTGGGATCATCTACTGTTCCAAACGTGAACGATAGCAAAATCAATAAGTTGCGAGTTCGCGAAAGCATGAAGTAATCCATTTATAATATTCTGGCATAAATTATATATACACTACCGTGCAAAAGTTTGGAACCACTAGGTATTTTTCATACAAATTGACCATTTTTGGTGGACTCATTAACATATTTCGGAAACACCTGCACTCTTGATATTTTATGCATAGTTTCTACAACGTTTCAATAGTAAATCACAGAGGTTTCATCAAAAAAATTTCATGAATTTCAAAAATATAGCGATTTGAATTTGTACTGTGTGAAAAATGATCAAATTTGTATGAAAATTAAAACAGATCAAATTCAAATTGATATTTTTTTTAAATTCGTGAATATTTTTTGATGAAACCTCTGTGATTTACTATTGAACCGTTGTAGAAACTATGCACAAAATATCAAGAGTGCAGGTGTTTCCGAAATATGTTAATGAGTCCACCAAAAATGGTCAATTTGTATGAAAAATACCTAGTGGTTCCAAACTTTTGCACGGTAGTGTATATAATATAAATTATATCACACGATGTAATTGTTGCTAACTCAACATTGAAGGCAATCGAAATAATATCTATAGAAATAATTCATCCGTTTTGCAAGTGTCCCCAAAGTGTATTGAACACAGCAGGAAATTACATTTTTCGAATACACGGTTTTATTTTCGCGTTCAATTTATATTGATTTGTCACTATATATATATACATACATATATATATATAAACGTTCAAACGCTTAGCAATGTTAATTTAGCATTGACATTAAACCACAAAAAACGACCGTGCAAAAACGTTTTACAAAGTTTAATTTACTTAAAATAAATAGCAAAACTAGCTTGAAATACACAAAATCGGATGCGGATCGCTACTGTTGTGATCAGCAACGAATATAGTAACAGATATATAAAATAAAAATATATCAACCTAGAGGACAGATCGAAAATGCAATGCCTCATCTGGCTATGTCTACACGCCTGCCTTGTCTGGAAATTGATGAGAAAAAAAACTGCTATTTATTCAAATACGCAATATTATTCGGAATTGTAAATTCATTCGTTTACTTCCGAATGGTATCGATTTGGTTATGTGGTCATTAAGTCATTTGATTTCTTGAAACTGAAAACTAAATTGATGGTGAACTTGAAAATAGCGATGCCAAAGTTTTTTTCATTCATTCGGCACATTGACTTAACGCAAATCAACAAAAAAAAGGAAAAAATATAAGCGATGGCTTCTAGCTGGTTTACCATTTGTACTTTTCTCTACGTGATTCGATGAACGTTTGTTTTTTTTCTCTGCGTCATGCTTCCTACCTTGTACATATGATCATTTCTTATAATGGACAATAAAAGTTATAATTTTTTTAGGCGATTCCCAATTATTTCTGGCATCCTCGCTTTTTAGCATGCTGATTAAATCTTTGCACATTTGGTTCAGTGTGCCAAACAGAAATGTAATTGGCCGATGGTCTCAATGAAACTCTATTATCTGTTCAGTTTGCATGAACTTTGAAATGACTCTTTGAAGAACGTTTTTATGAATTGGTCTCTTATTAACAACAATGCGATCAGCAACAGAATGTTCAAATGTTTTAAATTTATCGATGCTATAATGATTATAATTTGTTAATTCACCACTTCAAGTTGATGTGATCGTGCATGAATATTCCACGATATGAACATACATCGACATTCATCATATTGTATTCGTTAAAGAACTTTTTAATTGGATCTCAAACCAGTATTCGTTGAAATCTCACAGTGTGTACCGAGACTATACTGCCGTTCGTTACTTGCGTATTCACACTTTTCATTTTGAGAACGTTTCTTTGTTGCACATTAAATGTTGTTGCCTTTATCCACGAAATAAATTTACGGAAGCAATTAATTAAGCGTCTGACTTTCATATATAAATCTAAAGTTTCCAATTATATTCGTGTTTTGCGTTGTTCCTTCAATACAATTTATCAAACATTCTCATGAAATCAAACCCATAATTAATTTCGATTAGTTCGCCAAAATGTGCGATTACGTCAAAGAAAATTTCAGATATTCGTGAAATGCAATGCCCGAAACAAATATTATGAAACTGTGTGTTGCATGCAAAAACGTGACAATTGTTATTATTTTGTATAGTCGTACATCGATTGTCATGTCGTTCAGCTTGCACTTGTAGACATCAGTAGTTGCAAACGGAAATTACTTGGAAGCTATTTCATTTATCAGAGTAGATTAAAGCAGCAAACACAAAAATTGCTCCACATTACGGTCGTAAGCATCGAAACAGTCCTACCTGTGTTAGTTGGCGTGCGTTGTACGCAAATCCGATTTCATTTTCATTTCCAATTCGAGCTTTGATTGATGCAGTAACACTTTGGTTCGGACGTTGTGTTTTTATTTTTCATTTTTGCAATTGTATAACAGACATTACCGTGATATTTCGAATACCGTTTCATGATCATGAAATTATTTTATGCATAAGAGAAGAGAAAGTGATTACTTCTTTTTTTCTTGCAATATATTGACAGTGTTGTTATTATTATTTTCGGTTTACTTTCGCTTTTGAACAGAAAGGATTCTTGGTACACAACAAATAGCATAGGCTGAAAAAGAGAGAATGGGATGGTACGATTTATTTCACAGCAGCGATGGACCCACACTCTACACGATATCAAATCGAACATCAGTCACGTATGATGTCTCCATGGTGGCCGTATGCATTCTCTTTGCAACATTTTTTTTTGCATTTATCATTATATTCCCGGGTGTTAGAAAACAAGTAAGTATTATAATATCAGAAACGGTTTGTTGTTGTTTTCAAACCGTTTTCTTGGTATTTGTATAAAAACCAGTTTCATTTTTAGCTTTTATTTTTGATTCTGTTAAAATATATTCTTTTTTATCTTCTCGATGCTTTTTTCATCTGTATTGCAGAGATTTTCAACATTTTTAACGGTTACCCTAAGTTTGTTTGTCGGTCTAGTCATTTTGGGTGAGTCAATCTGTGTTCCGATAGTTAAAATTAGTTACGCAATCTTTTAAAATTTATTGAGATTTTATACTGATTCATTCACACATAGTCACACGTCTAGGATCAGCATGGCATGTTTCATCAACACACATCGTGGCACCATATCGATCATTTTCACGGGAAAAAATACCCGGAATGATTGGAGCCTACATTGGATTGATGCATTTGAACGTTACCTTGAAAGGTATTTGAATGCCATATGTGTGTGTTTTTTCTTATATATTTAAACTTTTCCGTTCTTCTATAATATGTAGCGCTACCAGTTGGAAATTGGACGATCCGCGATATTGATTTTAATGAGCAATTTCGTTGGGATGCAGCACATGACATGCAAAATTCGTATCACATGGCATTAAAGCGTGGTTTGCCTTATCCTATTTTGACAGTTGCAGAGTATTTCAGTTTGGGACGAGAGGGTTTTGCATGGGGTGGCCAATATAGAGCAGCTGGTTATTTTGCCAGCATAATGTTGTGGGCTTCATTTGCATCATGGCTTCTGATGAATCTATTGTTGGTGGCCGTGCCTCGATATGGAGCGTACTGTAAAGTTGTTACCGGATTATTATTAGTTAGTACAAATTTAGGTTATTCATGGTTGGTACCAAAACCGCAGCTCGTAATCATTATGGAAGGTGGACGTTTAACGTTCCATTATGGCTGGTGTTTTTGGTTGATCTTGGTTGCGGGAATTTTGTGTTTGTTCGTTGGTATTGTGATATCAGTGATTGATTTGGTTTGGCCGCACACATTCTCCACAATTGTCGAAGTATACTTTGATACGCCATACGATCGACATGTTATACTTGAGGAATCGCATGATGTGCGGTATCAAAAGCGGAATAGTCGCGCATTAGATGAAAGCTTGGGCCATAAGATATTGAGGCGTCTATCATCAAAGACGAGAGATATGAATGGAAGTACAGCCAGCAATGGCATTGACAACCGAGCATATCAGCGTGATGCACCCAACTCACCCTGGCATTATTCCCATCGACAGAGACCACTCCATCCGCCGTTGCATAGAACAATCTCTGAAGATTCAAACGCATCGATGCAAATGGAAATGCAACCAGTTCAAAAAATGGTTCTCTCACGAAAATTACCGTAAGCATGTATAATCGACAATTTGAAATAAACTTATCGATACATTTTATTTGGAACTTCTTCTCTTTATCTGTCTCTCCTGCCTTCATTTCCAGGCAACCTATAGCTGAACAACATACTGTTGACATGAATTGGTGAACACGAGCACTTTTCCCATTCAAAATCTAGTTCATAGCTGTATATGTTACCAGTGAACCGACTTTGATGAAAAGATAGACTCCGATGCAAAGCGCAATATTTTTAAAAAATGATTTAGTGTTTAAGTGATTTTTTTTAATTAAATCTGTATTTGTATTTGTATTTGTATTTGTATTGATTAAGATTGAATCGAATAGTCAATCTTGAAATGTACGCGCATTTTTTTGGCGCAGGTAATTCTGTGAGATAAATTCTTAACATTTTGAAACATTTTACAATAAATGCAAGTCGTATTCAGATCTAAGATCATGAACCAATTTAAAAAAATGTTACATCACAAGTTTATACGGTAGATTTTAGATCATTTATTTAATTGGAAAACTAAAATTATTCTAACTAAATTCAATTTGATGGAAAATGTTATGCTCAATGAAAAGTCACTCAAAATGGGACTATAACAACAGAAATGCTTGGACCATTTAAAATGGAATGAATTAAGATGAAATAAAACTTCTTTTTAATCAGATGATTTTGTTTTGTCTTTATTTCGAAAATTTTTACAACATTATTTTTTCCAGGAAGATGAAATTAATTTTGAAACATTAGTTCGGAGAAAATAAATTATTATTAAATTACAGACAGTTTTTTACAATTTAAAAACCAGCACTTTTTTTATGCTGAATGATACCATTGAAACCAAATTCAAAGCGATCCGAATTCGGTTGAGAGGAAAATGGATGAGCCCTCGCAGAGGAATTACAGAAAAAGTTGGTATCCCACATCACAGGCAATTTCAATGAATACCACATGGCATACAAGGAGGGTGTCCGTGTTGTCGCATTTGGCTGTTCTGTTGTTTTTACTAATTCGGACGTTTCGTTCAGTCTATCTAAAGCTAAGTTTAATAATACGTCTAAGTCACTGGTAGATTCAATTAATTCACTTGTCGTCGGAAACATGTTCGTGACTTCGTTAGTTTCGATTTGTTGCTGGGAACTGGAATTTCCTGAAGATAACTGGGTTGATGATTGAGTTTCGGTGGTCCGTGATGTTGCATTCAAATATGTGCCTGGTATTTGGCTAACTAAAAATACGCTTGTCACCATCGTTGCAACAAGTACCGTATAACTTAGACTCAAAACTAAAATCGACTGTATGAATTGTTTGGCTATTTGAACAGATGGTATCATTTTGGTCAATTCTAAGTACGTATAAAACCCACGCTTCATTCCCTGTAGTCGAGCTAATGCTATTTCTAGTGTTTTAACTTTTTCAAAAAACTCTTCATTCGATACGTACACCTTCCAGTCGATAGCATTTAGAAAACATATTTCCATTTGGAGCAAATTATCTGGAGTAGTGTTTATGCATTCAGACCAATTTACATACGGAGCTTCATCATCATGTCCACTATAGAATTTGGTGGCTACCATCTGCAGGAGGAAAAATACAAAAGAAAATGAGGATATTCTCATATGATAAAAATTGTGTGCATCATACCATTGAAACCAAAAATAATTCAGTCGGTGTAACATGTTTGATATATGCTGGGTCAACATCTTTCAAACGTTCCAAGTAGATCATAGCCAAAATTAGTGAGCATGGTGTAGAGCGTAAGTTACCCACAGTTGAGTAGTTTAAACGATTCAGCGAGTAGCCGTTGTGAGTGTCAGAAAACATATCCGCTATATAATCTGATAATGGGATCGACATTTTAGCTTTACTACTGCTATAGTAAAGAGATTTTTGGATGCGGTTCAAGAATTCACCGTGCGACATAAGCTGTAAACCAAACACAAAATTTTTCATTATCGAAACTGCAATAGAGGTTTAAAGTCACTATCTCAAAATTAAATTAGAGATAACACCACAGAGGTCATTGAATATCATGAATTATATTGGTTGAATGAATCAAAAACATTCAACTATGTGATAGAAAGTTACTATACTGATAACAACAACAACAGCAATAGCATTTACTGTAAGCACTAACTTCATTGATACTTCTAAAAGAGGAAATAATGCTGAAAACTAGAGAAAGATATGATACACATAACAATAAACCAAAAAGTGTTTTATTCTGCTCAACACGCTATTGAACAAGTGTTCCAAATCATTTGAGGCGTGATAATGAATGAATTTAAAATTTGAAAGCAAATGAAGATATTTTTCAATTGAATCAAAAGAAATATGATTTGATATTTTCGAAGGTGTTATTTAAAATTACCTTGCTCTTATTTAGCTTCAGTCTCCCATTCGTCGAAATATCACTAATTCCATCGCTGCTGACCTTATTCCTCTTTCTAGGAGAGGAGCAGATGTTGTTGCGCCGAAGTTTCGACATTTCTTCACAAAATACGTATTTGATCTCGGTGATCACAGCCCCGTTTCTTCTATTTCCACTTTTATTGTTTATATTTGATGTTTATTTGCCTAATACACACAACACACCCGATAGTTATGTTTACAATTTGAAACAAAAATAAAAACAAAAAGAAAAATTAAAGAATTACAAGATTTTTGATGTCGTCGACGTCAATAACACGCTCTTGTTCAGAAAGCCAAACCATATGAATAGAACTGATTCCGTATATACTTCACGGCAACCATTACTCATTTATGTCGAAACTGAGCAATTTGAGCAACCAAGTTATTTTGACATTTCGAAAAATTCGAATTCAAGAAAAAGCTTTCGAATAGAAATATTTGTTTCCTTTTATAGTTGTATAGCCATTTTGATTTAACTTTAATCTGAAAGATAAAATGCAACATAATAAAATAATGATTCTGTAAATAAAAATTCAAATCAATTGGACCATTGAACCAATAAAAACATCACTTTGATATTTCTAACGTTTGACATATATAGCATGTTAATTGGTTGGTTCTGTCAATATTCCAAAGCTCTATGCTCTGCAACTCGTAATCAATTCAGTCGATTTTCATCATATACATTGCAAGAGCATGACGTAAAGAACGTATTTAATTCTATCGCAAAATGATCACAAACGTGTTTCGCCGAATGAATTAGTATTTGTTTAGGTGCGTGAATGTTTAGATTATACCAAGTAACGTTGAGGCAAAGCAAAGCCATGCTATAAACCGAAACAAACCAACGCAAACCAATTCTGAGTGGTACGGTACGCGAGTGAATGAAGAATAGATAAAATACGTGATTTGTAAATCATTCCATTTTTTTGTGATTTTGGGAATAAAAATTGATTTGGCAGTAATTATACAACGTGATAATAAAAAAAAGAAATGTTCGGAATACGAAATTTATCGAAGCTAACGCAATATTTAACAAAATCGAATTTAACAGTTGCAGCAATTGATTCACACGTTACTGTATCGCTTCAAACACTGTCAAATCGTTCTGTTATCAGTCACGTAAAAGATATACAAACAACATGCAACGCTTATCGTTTTTTCATGTGTTCAGCCGTAAAACATACGGGAAAAACATCATTAGCATCAAATCAGACACCAAACATTGGTGAATACGATACATTAACGGAGTATCATGCATACGATATGATACATAAATTGAGCGAAAATGACAGGGCATCCTTGTTGAAAGCATTGAACAAATACAATTCTGACAAAATTAAATCGAAGTTTCAAGGTAATTTTTTGGTCTGATTTCTCTAGTACTTAGACTACGGCGAATATCTAAAAATAATGTCTTTCGTCGATGTGAACGTGTTTTATGTACACATTGTGAAAATACACATTAAAAGTATTTAGTACACGCACGCATTGTGCTTGCTATTGGGCGATTTACTTGAGCAGTTAAAATGAAAACATGATCAGCTGATTGCTTGTAAATGTTGTTTAATAGTAAATGTATCTAATGTATTTGTTTTAATTTTTGGTGTCAGGACAACTTGCTTCGTCTAATTGGCGCTTGAAATTCGGACGTCGCAGCAATGAGCAGCTAGGGGCTGTAGATCCTACTGGATCGTATTGTGCTATGCCTGATGATTGGATTAAAAAAAAGTTAGCAGAAGCTGCTATAACGCCATCAAAGGATGCTTTATTCAAAAGTAAGGGCACTTTGTATCAATGTTAATGTCAACAAAGTATTGATTTTTTTTTTTCATTTTTATTTTGTAGCTTTTGTGGTGAACGGAGTGCCATTTGTTGGTTTCGGGTTTCTAGACAATTTCTTCATGATTATCGCTGGCGACTACATAGAGAGTTCAATTGGTGTATACATGGCAATCAGCACAATGGCGGCAGCTGCTTTGGGAAATACAATCAGTGACATATTTGGTTTGGGTCTGGCTAGTTATGTGGAACAATTTTGTACATTCATCGGAATTGTTGCACCCGATCTAACACCAACGCAACAAAATATGCCAATTACTCAGAGAGCTGGAAGTATGGTAGGATTAAACAATAACTAAGAGAAGAACAGAACATTGTTATTAATGCATTGCTGTTTGGTTTTTAATACAGGGTCGCGTCGTTGGAATCACAATTGGTTGCTTGATCGGAATGTTCCCTCTTCTTCTTATGAAAAAAAAAAACAAGGGAGACAAAGAAGAAATAGAAGAAAAAGCAGTTCAAGATTGAATTAATTGATGTAAAACGTGAACTCCAGGAAAAATCTAGCTTGTGTCATTATTTGATTTGCATTTTTAGACTCAATCCGAGTGTCTTAAGCCCACTACCTGAAAAATCTTTTTAAATTATATTGCACAAATAACAACTAAATGTTCGAACTATGTAGATATTGTAGATAGCACATTTTATCTATTTTTTGCTCAACCAACTTGAATATATTTACAAAACTGTATAAAGTAATGTAACGAATTTATTTTAAGCTTATTGTAATATTTCAAAAAATTTAACTGACTCTTCCATGGCAAATTCTCTCGCCTTAATGTGCAATCAAATAAAAAAGACGTAATAAAAATGTGTGACAAATTGAAATGCATTGCATTTTTTATTTATATTTGAAGGGCTCATCATCATTTTTCACGCCAAAAATACGAATTTCTTTTTCCATTTTGGATTCAGCGGTCAAGGCCTCTTTGATTTTATTACTTAGAGCATCTAGGCCATTTCGAGCGTGTATTTGTATATGCAAATCGGCATCATTTTCTGCTATATTTTTTAATATGCGGTAAATTGGAAGTAAATAGTCTTGGTATTGTTCTAAATTCTGCATGCCGTTTAGTAGATCAGTGAGGACTAGAGCTGCTGCTCGCCGTGTTGGTAAATACTTATCAAACTGTACAGTGTTTTGAATAAGTAACATCACCTGCAATAAAGAAGTATATTATTAAGTTGTTTGCTATGTAAATATTTTATTGATCGATTATTGAATAATTACCTCCTGGAAGAAGTGATGAACTTGATAAGATAAAATGCGCATGATAACACCTAAGTTTGACATATTTGATGTACGAAATTCATCATTTGGATTATAGGCACCCCTCAAATAGCAGTTGATCAATATGGACTTGTATTTATAGCACATTTCTCCAAGACCTTGTGTGACCTTCACTACGGTTTCGCCAATTTTCAACTTAAAATCTATATCGCCTGCATCAGCATCAATATCGAAATGATACTCAGCTATCAACGTCTCCAAAACGGTTTCCTCCAATATCTCAACCAGCGTAATCAGTAGTTTAATGCAATTGAGAAATATGTAGCTATCTTCTTCTTTAAGCAGCTTCATTGCCAGGGCAAGAATGATGTGTGCGTTCAAGCAAGTTTCTTCATCTCTTTCATTTATCAATTTTATTAAATTCATTACTCCATAGACTTTGGTGTAAGGTTCTGAATGAGTTTCACTTAAGATTGCCATTGCCTCCAGGAATTTGGAGTTATCTTTAAATTTAGTGGGTGCACCTAGCACAATATCCAACTTTCCCATAACTGTTTTCATTTCATCGCCACGTAGATGTGTCCGCAATTTTCCAAGCGTTGTTTCCAATCTTGTTTTCAGTTCTTCATTTTGTATGCGTTGCATAAAATCTCCCACAATGGACAGAATAACAACCAAAATTTCTTCGAAGTCTTCTGCCATCAACTCTTGATTCGATTCCAATGCAGCTTTAATCTGTTCGATTTGTTGATTAAGCATTTTGTCAAGCATTGAAACAATGTCCTGCTGATTTTCCGCAAACTGTCCATGAAATGGTTTGAATAGAATTAATTCATTTAGTGCATGAATAACTGAATATTTCCTTTTAAATTTCATTTCAATTGCTTTTTTCAGTTCACATTCAGAGCCAAGTAATTCACTGCTGCTGGACAGTTGTTCGATTTTCCTGGATGTACCCCAATTATCAGAGAACATTTGAAGTAAATGTAAGAAAACGTTGTAGATTAATGTGTTGTGATTACATTGTTTCAATACATTCACCAGAGAAATTGATGGCTGTAGAAATGAGTTGATATTGAAGTCATCATCGTCCGTTGAATCATTTTCTACTTCGATAGCAGCAATGTTGAAGGTAATACTTTCACATTGTTCATTGTTGGCACGTTTGATGTTGACTCGCCGATGAAGACATTTTGAGGAATTATTATATTCTTCGTACAAAATCCATTCAACAATTTGGCAGAGTTCAAGTTTTTCTCGGTTAGATAAACACCGAACAATTACAGCAAGTATATCGTGTTTCAGCAATCTATTCGATGATTCACTTAATAAATGATGAATTTGGAACAGCATCGGCATGTATGGCTTTAAAATTTCGGACGGCAGTGTATCATCGGAAGGTCCTGAAGCGCAAAAAGTTAAATGCAACAAATGAACGGCTTCAATAAATTCATTCGCCTCACAAAGAATAGCGCCAGCTATCAAATCATTTGGATCTGCCAAATTATTGAGCGTCCGAAGTAGAATATCCGTGATGTGGCGGCAAATAAATCCAAGCTGAAGTGAGTACAATTTACTCAAACACTGAACACCAACGTCAGTATAGTAAAGTTGATGTGATTTGTTACTTCGTATAAAGCTAAGTAAGTGCTCATGAATTTCGTCAATGATTTGATGATAGAACTGCTTTTTATGCCCTCGTTTTGCTACTATCGATGAAATAACAGCACAACAATGTAATCGTTTTTTTGCGATTTCCTCATCCTGATCCAAACTAGTGATTGACGGTAACAAAGCTTCACACAAAGCACTAAAACTACCAGGACGATGTAGTGTTTGCATAAGTTGTTTGAGAGTGATTTGTTGAATCGATAATTCCTGTCGATTCTGGCCACTGCCTTGAATCAAAAACAAAATTTTGAAGTAATCAGCCTGTGGAATTTGTGTCTGAACGGACACCAGATGTTGCTCAAATTGAGACTTTATTTCGGATTCAGCGTGGAAAATAATCATAAATATGCTACTAAGTACATCGGTGTATAAAAGGTGTTGATCACTTCGGGTACAAATCAATGGGAAAAATTTGTTATTCGCAATTTTCAACAAAACCTTGGTACTTGCAACAATGAACGGCAAACGAAAATCGATCGGACTTGCAACTCCCAACAGAAATGGTTTCAAACCATATTCGATGGACTTTCGAATACCAATGTGAACTTTTTTCGCTTCGTTCACCGAGATCGGAAAGTCATCGTTGCTCTCAAGCTCATCACAGATTTGTAACAGAATCTCGAATATGGTAGTTGCATAGGTCCAGTTTGATGGTTCACCCGTGTTTGGTCTCGGACACTGGTTATCTTCGTAGAGAATTTTCTGGTATGTCCCACATTCTTCCGGTGTTCGTGATTTTTGTAAATTACTCAACTCATTCAGGGCTGCTGTATCCAATTCGGCGCGAATCGAAACTATGGGACACAAGGAAAAAACCAATATTATATTGAAAACATTTTTACAAATTCTAATCGTTTTTCATTACTTTCATTACATTATTTTTTTTGCTTCTTCGATTTTTCCCTAAAAGAATTGTAAGTTGTTGCAATATCTCTTAATGAATCTATTCCGTTGATACATACCGTTGCAAGAATAATTTTCTTCACTTCCTATCAAGCTTATGAGCGATTTCAAACTGTTTGTATTAGGCATTTTTATTGTTATTCAGAAAACAAACTGGTAAAGCCTACATAGTGTCGTCGCCGTATAAACACGAGTACTGGTGAATTTAGTGCGGAAAACTGTCAAATGAAGCACATTGACAGCCGATCGTAGGGTGCGTTCAATACGAAATAGTTCCATCTCTTTCATAATAAGTTGATAGATTTTATTATTCAAGTATTCAAATCAACGATGAAGCGATAAATGTGCCTTTATTTGATAAAAAAAAGATACATTGTTACAAAAATTGTGAAAATAACAAAATATTGTATTGTATACAATTCAAATCCTGTAAAGATGATATCAAATTGGTTTTGAGCATGAAACTTAGTGACTTTTCATATGTTTTATTCAGCAACAATTAAATTCAAGAAATTTTCCGACCGAATATAGTTAATATATAAAAGCTTCATGCGAAGAAAACAACGACTAAATGTCAGCCAGCAGGGCTGTCTTATTGTCTTTGGTAACAAGACGAACTAGAGAGCCATTTTTTGGTCGCTCATCTCCATCGGTCCACTTTGCAAATGTTCTGAAATGAGATAAATTAATTATTTCTTGTTCAATCTTTATGTGTTTTCCAAATTATTCATACTCTGCAATAAAGTCCAACGGAGTCCATGTCGAGAAATCTGCTTTCGGCATCCATTTGCGGTTCATAGGAGTGTCAAGCGTTATTGGTAAAATGGAAACAACCAACGAGTTTTCTGGCAAACCAGAAGCTAGAGAAATTCAATTTCATAATTTTCACTTAGTTAATTGATTTGTATTTCTATTGCCTTATTTTTTATTATTTAATTTTACCAGGAGCTGCCAGTGATTTGGTTAGTTGATGCACTGCAGCCTTGGCCAACCCATAGCCAATCATACCTATCGAAAACCAATTGATACATTTTTCTTTAAATAAAAACTTGATTCTTTTCCATAACTAATCATACCAGGTGTGCCTTTCAAAGCCGTATCCGCTCCAGTTAATGTTAGTAAACCACCTGACTTCAAAAAGCGAGAGCCTATTGAAGCTGATATACTTGAAGACCAAACACTTTGTTTCCACATGAGTTCGCAATTTTTGGCCAAATCCTTTTCTGCATTTCCACCTGCCCATCCACCTGAAACCATTCAACATTTATATTATAGAACAAGTCAGTGGACAATTCTACTTTAAAATCTGAAAAATATCGTTACCCGCAACGCAAATAACAGCATCAAGTTGATTGGAATTCAATAATCCTTGCAATTGATCCAGAATCAAAGTTTCTTGGTCAATCCATCCGGCGTCCTTGTCAACAATAATATTGGCATCAGCTTGATCGTTTGCATTCAAATCAATACTACCGACCCACTGTGGAAACAGTAAACAAAAGAAAAGAAAAATCATCAAGTAAACGAAAGTGATGTCTGGTGTGAGCTGGTACAAAATTTGTCTGCCCGTCTTAATGGTCGCAACGGGGTCAAGTGCAAAAATCAATAAACTGAAGTCATAAGTGTTTGATTTTCAAACAGGCGCAATAGAGTTACTCAAGAAATTTTTCGAAACCAGTAAGTGTCATTGGTATGAAGAAACAAATCAACTAAAAATGTGTATTTTTTCAAACATGAAAATCCACAATTTTTCATTGAAACAATAATTTTTTCAATCAACAATCTTTTTTTTTCGATTGACTGACACAAAGTTCGGATTAGGTTTCAAAACTGTCACTCATGCATGATATAAAATACAATAAAGAATGGAAAATACTATTAAGAATCACATTAAATGAAATCAAGTTAATGAATCACCACTGGTACAAAAACCAGTTTCTCACCCAGTTTAATTCTTTGAATTTCGAAACACAGGCTGAACCCAATGCTCCACGGCCTCCATAGACCAAAACTTTCTTGGCGGCTGACATTTCCAAAATGTTATATTTAAAAAATTCAATTGGTAAACTGAGCTGAGACTCTTTATAATAACTTGGGTTATCTCGTTGGTGTTTTTGTTTTTATTCACGGCGAAAGCAAAAAGCGGTTAACTCTGTTGAAAAACAAACGTCGAGATAAACAGACACTGTGAGATAGAGCGGCAGCAACTTGTTGGAATGCTTTTGCAAACTGAAGTGATATGAACAGAATGAAAACCCATTGGAAATGTGTCTGCGCTCGACATTCTCTTCTTCTCAAGGCCACAATCTAATCTGCAAAGAGGGGCATAAATCCCTATCGGGGGTTACCAAAATTGAGCAAATCTTGTGATGTTCGTGAAATAAAATTCAAAACTTAATTAAATGTATCAAACAATGAAAATAAGTGAATAATAATTAATTTAAAATGTTAATTATAATTTGTCGAAAAAAAGAACAACCCAATGAAAGATTGGAAACCATACGTAGTTTAATGCTCGCATATGAAACGAACAACGCATTTTCGAAAATTGGTTTCAGCACTGGTAACACTTTCGTGTTACCAAATTTATGCAACTGTCAAAAAAATCATTAGTGAAGAAGGCAAAGCTGTGGAAGTGAATGTTTCATTTGTAAACGTATGAACATTAAGGGAAAAACAAAAAAACTCCAGGAGCATTTTGATCTTAAGCACTTTAGATTCTAGAAACGCAAGCAACAAAAGCAAGGTTCAAGGTAATATTTATTTTATTTAAAATTTGAATAATTTTTCATCACTTGTTATTTGTTTGTGAATATAAAATAAAATTTGTAAGGTTATGTTACAATTGCAGTGTAAAGTAGTGGAGAATAGTTTTTTTTTTCCTTTGTTGTTCAAATCGCCTAATTTTCTCACAATTGTTCTGTGTTTTTCGTAACATCAAAACATAAGCACATGTTATCTTTTCGTGGTATTTTGTCGGACTAAGTATTAAAGGCATTTCCATTCGAAAATGATTACATCTGTTTGTATGGTACATTGTTCACATTTTTTATGTTTAGTTCAAAATTCATACATGCAACTCACTTAAATCCATTCATTGGTACATGAGCGCAGAACGCAAAATAAATTAACATTAGGTAAATAAGATATAATGCACTAGTGGACCATTCAATTTCCTAAAACATGTTCCCATTTTATGTTTCAGGTTTTTAACGATAAAAGGCAGGTACGCTGCTTAAAATATCATCAAAATGTCTATGTCCAAAACAACAAACACGTATAATCGTCAGAATTGGGAAGATTCCGAATTTCCGATTTTATGCCAGACTTGTTTGGGCGATAATCCCTACGTTCGCATGATAAAGGAACGTTATGGCAAAGAATGTAAAATTTGTACACGGCCATTCACTATATTCCGATGGTGTCCGGGTGCACGTATGCGTTTCAAAAAAACTGAAATCTGTCAAACATGCGCCAAGCTGAAAAACGTGTGCCAAACCTGTTTACTTGATCTGGAATATGGATTGCCAATTCAAGTGCGTGACGCTGCCCTAAAAATTGTTGACAAGTTACCTCAAAGCGATGTTAATAAGGAATATTACATACAAAAAATCGAAGCTGAGTTGAAAAACGACGATGGCACATCAGCTGCGGGAACTGTTGGAAAATCATTAAGTGCAAGCGAAATGCTGACCAAATTGGCCAGAACACAACCATACTACAAACGAAATCAGCCGCATATTTGTTCGTTCTGGGTGAAGGGTGAATGTAAGCGTGGTGAAGAGTGTCCATATAGACATGATAAACCAAATGAACCTGATGACCCATTGTCCGAGCAGAACATCAAGGATCGATACTATGGCAGAAACGACCCGGTTGCGGATAAAATAATGAAACGGGCGGCACAATTACCCACTCTGGATCCACCAGAAGACAAAAGTATCACCACTCTGTATGTGGGTAATATTTCGGAGCATTTATCCGAAAAAGATATTCGCGATAATTTCTATCAATACGGTGAAATTCGAAATATCACGATGGTGGCGAGACAACAATGTGCATTCGTGCAATACACAAAAAGAGCTTCGGCGGAATTGGCCGCAGAATCCACATTTAATAAGCTAGTTTTGGGCGGACAGAAACTTTCAATAAAATGGGCACACTCTCAGGCCAAACAATCAACAGCGACGAAAACCAATCGCAATTTTGATAGCACACCAAGCATACCTACACCACAAATGCCAATACCTGCAAACGACTACTTCAACTTAACACCAAACGATGTCAGTGTAATGCCACCTGGATTGAAACTCAATCAGCTGCCGCCATCGATGATGTCGAGCTCAGCTTATCAGGCATTATATCAAAACAACGCATACCCAGCGCCATATTCATCGATTCCATTGCCTTCAAACATGCCACCGAATGCGGATAATATGCAAATACCACCACCACCAATCAATGAAAATGTGCATTATCCGAGCCAAGACCCCAATCGGCTCGGTGCCATTAAAAAATAAGCTTATATTCATTTCGGAATCAAACATTAGGATCATCAGTACTGCGAATTTTATTATTATTATAAACAATAGAAAAAGACTAAGTTCAATTTTAATACCGGATAAATAGTTTTGTAATAATTTTACAAACTTTCAATAAAGTATCGATTTGAATTCATTCACTGGGAATCAATGGTTTTTTGTGTGCTTTGTTTGCTTTTGAAATTATTTGCAAAATTCACTTGAATAAACTATTATTTAAAGAGTTGTTTTCTTTCTTCAGATGGACGTAAACGTACACCACTTGAGTTCTTGGAAAATTACGTCGAAGCAACCATTTTATCCCATCGACATTACGTGCATAGGGAATGACGATAAAGTTCGAGCCGTAACAACGTACGCTGCCCACACAGTCAATACATTCATATTCCGCAATTTTGGTGAAGATATGGAAAGCAATAAACCGGCTCACAGGAGCTATTTGCATAAATCTTTTTTTCCTGAGCATATTATCGACATCGCAGTGGGTACTAATGAGTCAGCGATTCTGACAAATAGCGGACACATCAAATATTTTACATCCTCAAAAAATTTGATGACTGTTGAATATTTGTCGGGCGTGAAATCGATATGTGCAACACGAAATGGTTTTGCATTAATAAAGACATCGTTCGATGGCACCGAATTTTTTGTCGATTTTCATCCAGGCACATTTCAAGATAACGAACCAGATGAGAGAGGATACAATATTAGTTTTGAAAAAATAATCGAGCTGCAGAACACTTGGCATCAATGTCGTTTCAAAATTAAAGAACTGCAATTCATTGGCCCAAGCGTGAATCAATTTCTGAGAACAATAATTCCAAATGAACTTGGTGCTGTCAACGAAAATAATGATTCTTTCTTGTTTCTAGCTATTGATAATAGCTTCTGCTCAATCCACATCATTGACGAAAAACCTGTAGTAAACCCAATAGTTATGTGCACCACGAAAATTGTGGATTTCTGGTCAGGAAAAAATAGTGATAACATTATTCTGCTGTTAGAAAGTGGAACACTGGAAATCCTTTATTTAAACAGTGGCGAAACTACTATCAGCAAGTGGAACTTCTATTTTGGTAGTGAAATTCAATCGTATCATTACCACGAAGGACTCTTCATGTTTTCAAACGGATTGGATATTGAGTATGGACTGATTGAGTTTAAAAAGGAGTTCGATGTCTTCAAATTAAAACGAAAGTCAATTGCTTTGTCGGGCATTGTTGCTATGACGTACTTGGTGGAATTCAAGAAAATTCTGTGCGTCAGTGAAAATTGTCATTTTTTCTTAGTCTCCATTCGGATGGAAGAAAAAATACGTACCAGCAGTTGGATCGAAATAGACAGAAATATTCAGAAGCAGCTATCAAACGTTAAATATCAACTGATCGAACTATCAGATGCGTTCGATAATTTGGTGGATGAACAGAAGGAGAAACAGAGAATCCTACATGTGGTCAAATTGAAACGAAATGATATGGAAGACATTGAAAATGATATTGGTGAAATTAGGTATCGCTTTGTTGCTGCCTGTACAGTGACACAAAACCCGTCGATTCAACGACACCATGAATCACATTTGAACATGATATACATATCGAATTCACTGGTCTATGACCGAACAACATCATTTTTTGTGACCATAACCATTTGTTACACCGTTAGATATGCAAATGAGTTCAATGCAAATTTATGGAGTTTATGTTGTCGATGGTTAAACGATAAACACGAAAACGTGTATGTGAACGTCAAGCTTAACGAAAGCCAGTTATCACAAGCAGTGCCACTAACATTGGTTATTCATTTGCAACAAAAACAATTGCCATGCTTCCATGTTAACATTTCTACAGCGGTGCGTGCCGGCAATTCTGTACATTTGAATTTTCCTGTACGCGTTGACCAGCCAGACTATTGTGAAATGATGAACGTCTCAATGTCTCAAGTTGATCAAGCATCAATTGAAAAGGATGGCAAAAGTCTCGTTTGCAGCGTGTTAGTGCCAAAATCAGTTCCCCTTGATGAAATATTTGCCGAAAAACTGAATCTGGAAAGCCGAACAAAAGCCATGACTTTGAAATGTGGCGAACAGAAGATGTATACGATAAATTTGCTGAAAAATACACTGACTGCAACCTATTTCCCTGAAAGTGAAACACTCCGACTCGTAACTAAGAGCGCCGATTTTATGTGCTCATTCAAGAAGCATTTGCACCGAAAAATTGAAACAAAACTATCCAGCCTGGAATATCAGGATGTAATGGTGTCCGTTGAGGCCCTAAAGCAATATTGTGTTAGTAACTTTTTATCTATTATTTTCTTCTGGAAGCTATTTCAATTAAGTCACGTAAATTAATTATTTTTATCATTTATTTTTAAATGGTGTAAACTACAGAGCGCGGATAACCATTTGAACGCTGTTCTAAATGCAACAGATATCAACAAGAAAGACGCCGAAATGCTGCAGTGTATGGAAAACGTTCGACGATCGAATGTTCTAAAATCAAATTAAAAATGAAAGCAATCCAATTTATACTCTATGGAAAAAAATCAAAATCATTCATTTATTTCACGTTGTTATTCTTGATAAGAAATTGCGTTCCATGCCAAGAATCGTTGCTTCAACACTTATAAGGAGATGATTCAATCTTATTTCAATGGCGACAATATTAAAATGCAGAAAAAGGCCAGAGAACAAACATACAATAATAAAATCAGCATTTAAAATACCGAACGAAAGTTGTAAATTTTATCGAAATATCTTTCCTTCCCTCTTGATATTATTATTCGTCCACAAAAATAAACTGAAACTTGAAATGTTATTGTATTGAATTGGAGAAATTGCGATGTCGAAAGCAATACGCAAAAGAGCCAGCAATCTGATAAATTTCAGAAGTTGAGAGACCCAATTGAAGTCATTGAACTCACAAAAAATTCTCATTTTGTTTGTTGTATATTTATTTTGTCGTCTGTTAGCTTATCACATAAGCGTACAAGTCTCCTAGTTGACTGAATTTAATTCCTTCGGGCGATTTTGAAACAACTTGAATTTCTTTTCTCTCTCCATTCGAATTAAAAATAATAAGAAGGATCCATACGAAATCTAAAATTATGGCCATAAATTAACTTAATTATGAGATCAAATAATTTCGGCGTTTCTCAATGAAATCAAATAAAAACTGATGCCAATATATGAGAAAGAAAAACCAAAGGTGGAATAGTATCATTATTCAATGGAATTTTCAATTTTTTTATGATGATTTGGAAAAAGGGGCATGGCCTAGACTTTGCCTCCTTTACAGCGCAGTCATTCATTTCTTGCCAGGTAGTGTCTGTCAATCAAATCTATAGTCCCGAATTTCATATAAACTTCGCATCATAAACTTGCTTGAATACACACAAATACAACATTGAGTGAAAAATAAGAAGATGGTCATACAAAAAAAATAAATAAAAGCCTAGTGTCATTCTTGAACATATTCGATGACAATATCGAATGAGGCAAACAAGTTTGGATTGTATGAACTAAAGATTATGCACAATTTTTCGTTCGTTGATATACATACTAAACGCGTGTTTTTCGATGCGGCTCTTTTCGTTAAATTCAATTCATGTTTATTTCCATGGTGTTCAAACGAGTCGCTAATGAAAAGAAATATCGTTGGCCGAAAATTCAATATACCAAAAGATATGAAGATAAACTCCGATGAACTGCGTTACTAAAGGCAAAAGACAAAGAGAAAAAAAACAGTATTTATTGATAAAATTTGTGGTTGTTGTTGTTCGCTTTTTTCGCTCTTCTTTCAGATGTTCGTTTTTGTTAAGCGAATGAGACTCGAATATCGATTAAAACCGTCTTGGACGTAGTGAAACGAAATCAGGGAGAGCGCACAGAACGCATATAAAAGCGGGCGACATGCGTTTATTGGAAATAGTTCTAAACGACGACTCCAATCATTCAAGTCACAACGGTGTTAAGAAAGTGTTTGCGCGCGAACTCGAATCAGTGAGTCTTTGTCGCAAAAATTTTGGTTTAAACTTAAATTCAAAAATTGTTTATCACATTGCAAGTGTATTATTTTCGTTTGTAGAAAGAAACAAATCTGTGAAGAAGAGTAACAAAAAGTGTGACTCAACTTTTGTGATAATATTAAATAGATGGAATAATTTGTGGTGACAAAGTGGTAGGTATTTTCATTAATCTTCGACTATTCTAAGAGTTCAACAAACTCTTTATTCAATTTATCGGTGTTATTTTTGGCACCAAGAGAATTTTCTATATGAAAAAAAAACGTCGATTAAATAGAAAGTATCACCCTTATATATTAATTTTCGTGTGCGTTTTTTTGTGGAAATTTAAAAAAAACAAGAGAGTTCTGTATCCGAAAATTGATCTTTTGAAAAGATATTTTCAAAGGGCTAATCAAGTACGAATCATGCGATTTATTCATAGTTTTTCAAACAACAGTTCGAATAATAATTTTTCTTTCATTATTTATCAATTACGAGGGTAGTTTTGAAAACTCTGGTTGCTGTTTTAGTAGTTCTTTATTTTAAAAAAGATTGTTTTTTTTCCAAGATAAGACAGCAATTTTGAACTCGTAAAAAAACTAAAGACGTATTTTTTCATCCAATCATAGTCTGAATTTTTAAGCCCCTACCCATGAGTTCAACTAGCATACAAATGTAGTTTTTGTCATTTCGCCGTACTGTCTCAAATTATGTGAACAAAAAATGCCGACACATACAACGATCGCGCATGTTAAAGAAGACTTTTTACGATTATTGACATAATGTCGCGCATGAAACCATCATCGATACAGAAACGCATTTAGTTGTAGACGTTATTCAATTGTTTTAGTTTGTTGTCTTCTTCAAGCGCTCTTCAATGCAATGCAATGTTTGATGTGACTAGTAGGACCTTCGCCCATTCATGCGTTTCATATCAGATTAATATTTATTCAGACAGTGTACACTGTTGAGTGTCACACTTAACGAAAAAAAAACTTCCAACTGTTATTATTGCATCGTAGCGCTAACCAGTATCATTTGCGCTATTTTTTCTCTTTCAATTTAGTGCTTTGAAGAATACATGCCTTGTACGTGCTCAATGCAAATGGTATTGATGTAGTTTACATGCCTTTTTTTCAATTCGAGTTCCAGATCAGATTCTATTTCAATTTAATTGTTTGGCAAAATTGTGTCAACAATAGCAGTACAAAGAGAAAACACGTAAACACAAAAGCATTGGAAATAAATGTTGTGATACGATTACAAATGACCAATCACCTTTCTGCCGCATTCTGGTCAATAATAAACGAGGAAACCACATTTTTCAAATCACAAAGAATATAAATTATTCAACGAAATAATAAACTGTTGAAATAAAAAGTGACGGAATGTCACCCATTAAATATGCCTCCCCATATTTTGACTATCTGAAAAGTGTTTATTGAATTGATGCTTGTTTCGGAAATAAAATTAGCAGTTGTCTTCGTCCCTATGCTATTTTTATACTCAAATTTAACGAATTCTTAATTTCGCCCAAAATTTTAATTTTTATAATTCTATTGACTAGATCGAGAGGAGAGTATGTGAAAAAATTCTAATATATTTTGAAAGAGGAGAGTATGATTTCTGTTGATTCTATCTGCGTTAAAAGGAAGTATGTTGGCATCCCGTCTACCTCCGCGGTTTTTCACGGTTTCCGCGAAACTGATAAAAGATAACAACATGGTGTCTTCGGCAAAGTTGTAGCACTTGAGGTTTTCTTTAACATTGCTGAAGACATCTATCTCTTATCTCTTATCAGTTGCGCGCAAATCGCGCACATAAAAAAGCAAATTTTATATAGAACTTTTTTTTTCTTATCATTTTTCGCGCTTTTCGCGGAGCTGATAAGAGATAAGAGATAACTGACTTCAGCAATGTTATAGAAGACCTCAAGTGATACAACTTTGCCGAAGACACCAAGTTGTTATCTCTTATCAGTTCCGCGGAAACCGTGGAAAACCGCGAGGACCCGCCAAAAATGAACATACTCGCCTTTAACCATTTTTGAGTCGAAAGAAACTTACTCTTCTCTTTCACAACAAAGTCAGATGAACTTACTCTCCTCTCGATCTAGTCAATAGAATTAGCCTTATTTGGTATTCTCGAAACAAACACCGGATAAAAATAATTTACAATACCTAAATTATTTAGACAATTCTCCATAATGAAACATATTATTCGACCTTGTGAATCTTTCAATTGAATTCTTTTTGTGAAATGAATTGAAAAACGTTTTATTAATTTGTCCAAAAAATGTACGAAGATAAAAGAAAAGAAAAGATAAAACTATTTCTTCTGGCTATTTACATTTGTGACGTGTTTTTGTGTCTAAGTGCACAGGTTCCACTATTCATTTCCTGGGACATTCAGTACGTTCGAACTTAACATCTGTTTCAAGTCTCAAGCTCATGCACTTTCTTACTGAGGTTCAATTACATTCAATTATATTAATAATAAGCGGCGAATTTGAACTTAAATGCGCAATTAACGTGTTGCTTTTCACGCAAAACCTTTAAATGTTGAAAACTAAATGCTATGCCTGTCGTTGGCTAGAAACGAACAAATATTCATTTAAAGGCGAAAAAAATTCGGAAAATAATTGTACGGAAAAATCTGAATTATCATTTAATTAAATTTACCTTCAATTGCTTTGTTTGTATATAATATTTTTACGATTTTGAGATAATCTTCATTTCCATTTTTAGAATTCAATAGTGCATCACATTTTGCTGTGAAAAACAGAAGCACAATGTGTAATCGAGCAGCAACTTGTCTGGTAAGTAATGAAGAATGCTAGTTAAATGACTGATATTACAACTAAAACCGAATTTATTCCAAATTATTATTATTAAATGAATTTTGTAAAAATGTGGAATATTCATGAATTTTCTATTTACAGCTCTTCGCAATCTTATTTTTGAGTGAGACAATTTGCCAACATCAGCCACCAGCAGGTGCACCATCGTTCCTGCGATCATCTGTAGAAAGCGTTCCTCCCAGTTTTGGTCAGAAAAATGAAGCATTGATCTCTGTTTCATACGGTGAGACAGCATTACCGCTTCGAAGTGCGGTAGAAAGCGTGCCATCAATTCAGTAAGTAAATTATTCACGATACTAGACTAAATTGTTAATCTGCAAATCACATTTCTATAGAAACTCCGATGTAAAATCCTTCATTCGTGAGTCGGTGGAATTTCGCCCCGAAAGCGATTCACTTCGATACGAAGAGGACCCTGAGGTAGCATCAAGTAATATTAACCCAACATATCAACAGACACTCGCGGGAGCTTATGGTGCTTATTTCATTCCAAAAACGTACGATCTATTAAATCCACAGCCTTTTCGTTCAGACTCCCCCTATCAACAGCTGATAGACACAAGAACGGTTCACGACAGTATTTTATCACGATATCGCGGATCAACAAAAGAAGCCAAAAGTGATGAGAAAAAAATTCTCTGTTATCTAACTAATTGGTCATTTTATCGTGCTAAAGATGGCAAATTCGTACCTGAATTGCTCAATTCGAAATTATGCACACACATTATTTACTCATTCGGCTCTTTGGATCCAACCACACTCACCGTGAAAGAATTCGATAAATGGGCTGATTTGGATAATGATTTGTATCGCCGAACCACATCACTTTCAAAAGATGTTCCTGTTTTGCTGGCAATCGGTGGATGGACTGATTCCACAGGTGACAAATATTCACGTTTAGTCAGTGATAGTTTAGCTCGGCGAAACTTCATTAGACAGTTGATACCATATTTGCAGAAATACGGATTCCAAGGTATCCATTTCGATTGGAATTACCCCAGGTGCTGGCAATCTGATTGCCGCAAGGGCCCAGAGAGCGATAAACCAAATTTTACTCGTTTGATCAAAGAGATCTCGGCCGAATTCAATAAACATGGACTCATCTTGGGAGTAGGCATTTCAGGTTACAAAGAGATCATTTTGAAGTCATACGAAATCGAAGAATTGTCAAATGCAGCAGACTTTTTGACTATCTATACGTATGATTATCACGGTGCTTGGGAAAAACAAACGGGTCATATCAGTCCATTGTATGGAAAACCTGATGACAAATATCCGCAATACAATACAGACTATACCATACAATTGCTGAAAAGCCAGGGTGCAGATCCACGCAAAATAATTGTTGGTGTGCCATTTTACGGACAATCTTTCACATTGGCGGCGAAAGAAACGCGGTTGGTAGGAGAAGGTATTTCAGCACGAGGACCTGGAAAGCCTGGCGAAGTTACTAAACAACCGGGTATGTTAGCATACTATGAAGTATGTGATCGTATTAAGAACCAGGGATGGCGCAAAGGTCGTGGAGCATCTCAAAAATCTGGGCCATTTGCAATGTTTGAAGATCAGTGGGTTGGCTTCGAAGACTATGATTCTGTTGCCAACAAAGCCAAATATGTGTTAGATTCAGGTTTAGGCGGAATTGCCGCATGGACTGTAGATTTGGACGATTTCTCAAATCGATGCTGTTTCGAAGCATTCCCATTGTTGAGCTCAATCAATCGGGCGTTCAACCGGCTTTCCTCTCCAAAACCAGTTAGTGGTAATTGTCAAAGACCAGCCGAGCCTGTAACACCTGTTGCTCCTGTTACAACAACAGTTGGTCCAGATGGCATAGGACCCGGACCAAGTGAACATACAACATGGCCAGGTTGGAATCCAAGTTCTACAACCTCAAAACCATCTTCAGAATTCACTTGGTGGCCTACACAGTCGACAACAACTAAAGAACCAACGACGATAACAACTACAAGAAGAACAACAACGACCACAGAACCTAACTACATCGATCCCGAAGAAGAGTATATACCTGTGCCGGTAAACACGATGCCAGTATCTGGAGGTCCTTGTTCAGCTGATGGACAGTACAAGCGACATGCATACGAATGTACGAAATACTATCAATGCGTGTACGGTGAATACATTGAATATAGTTGCGCTGGCGGTTTACACTGGCATGAAAGTGGAAATCTTTGCGATTGGCCGGCATCTGCCAAATGCGAAGAACGTACTCCACCATCCGAGGAATTCATAACGAAAAAGCCGGTCACAACATCCACAATTTCGTATGATGAAGAATTCACTACGCGCCGAACAACTAGAAAACCAATCACAACACTGCGACCAACGACTCCAAAGCCATACAATAAACCATCAGAATTCTGTCAGAATGGCGACTACAAACCAAACGTTGATGATTGCGAGAGTTATCACATATGTGTTAATCATCAATGGGTTCGACAGGACTGCGGTTACGGATTCCAATTCGATCAAACCCTATTGCAGTGTGACTACGCAACGAAAGTAAGATGTCTGCCAGCCAGTCGCTATTTGAAATTTGTCGGGAAACTCTCGAAGGTACAATTAGATGACCCCTGCGAAGGGCGTGACTATGTAGCTTACCCAGGCAGTTGCCAGGATTATTTGATGTGTTTGCACGGAACCATGCAGGCGGGTAGTTGTGCAAGTGGATTGCACTGGAATACACAGGCAAGCATCTGTGATTGGCCCGAAGATGCCAATTGCAAAGAAGAAGGTAGTCCAGTTTTGACTGAAACTGGAGGAAATGAAGTTGGTGGTTACATTCCGATTACAACGACCACAACGACTCAAAAACCAAAACCTGTAGTACCCCGCCCGCCCGTGAAACAATTCTCAGGAGACTATAAATTGGTTTGTTACTTCACGAATTGGGCTTGGTATCGTAAAGGAATAGCTAAATACACACCAGATGATATAGATCCCAGACTGTGTACACATATTGTTTATGGTTTTGCCGTGTTGGATTATTCAGAGCTTACAATCCGTAAGTAATTGTACAGTATACGACATTTTAACAAATGTATAAAATGCATTTTTCGAAATTAAACAGGAACACATGATTCGTGGGCCGATATTGACAACAAATTCTATGAAAGAGTTGCTGGTTATCAACGGAAGGGAGTGAATGTTTCATTGGCTTTGGGTGGATGGAATGATTCACAAGGTTGGTTTTGCTCAATCATTGACGCAATTGTGTGACATTTTATAATTTATCACAACTTATAACTACGTATAGGTGACAAATATAGTCGTTTGGTACGCAGTCCATCAGCGCGAAGACGATTTGTTGAACAAGCAGTTCAATTCTTGGAGAAATATGGATTCAATGGCTTAGATTTGGATTGGGAATACCCAGGTAAACATTTGCAATGGAAAATTGGCGGTTTTGAACATGTTATTTATATATTTGTTATTTACCATTCAAAAAGTTTGTTGGCAGACCGAATGCAACCGTGGTTTTTCAGACGAAAAAGAAGGCTTCACTGATTTAGTTCGTGAACTCTCTATTGCATTCAAACCAAGAAACTTGCTTTTGTCATCGGCTGTATCGCCAAGTAAAACTATCATTGACAAGGGCTACAATGTGCCACAATTGGCCAAGTACTTTGACTGGATCGCTGTAATGACTTATGATTTCCATGGACAGTGGGACAAAAAAACTGGACACGTCGCTCCATTGTACTATCATCCTGAAGATGAAGTTGATTTCTTCAACTCTGTAACTATCAGTTTGATTTTATTCATCAAAATAAACAAAAATTAACTAAACTATTTTTTATTTATTGTAGAATTATTCAATTCGATATTGGATAGAAAAAGGAACGCCACCACGTAAATTAGGTATATTCACTTTTACAATCAATTTATTACTTTGGTTTAATTCATTCATTTTTTCTTTGATTTGGTAATCTAATAGTAATGGGTGTCCCACTGTATGGTCAATCGTTTACTCTGTCCGATCCAAAGAATAATGGTTTGAATGCAAAAGCACCAGGTCCTGGCCAAGCAGGAGAATACACCAGGTAAACCTCACTCAATAGCATCATATTACAATTTCTTTTTTTCTATTCGATACATCACAAATGGTGATAATAGGAAAATTAAAGCTCCGTGACGCAGACCCCCCCCCCTTCAAGGAAAATTTTCTTGAGAAATTACAAATCTGAACCCGCTATCGTGTTCTACGAAATTTGTGCTAATTATTGCTCGCTCCCCAGAATTTGTGCTGCAACTGGTGACGAGCA